GCGAATAGTCCACCTCTAGTTTTTTTAATTTTATAATTATTAATTTTAATTAGTAGGCCCCACAAGAGAAAAATTAAAAATTTATAATTTTTAAATTTTAATTAAATTATTTAATTATTTTTTTCATTTATAATTATTTTTATTATATAATAATTATTTTTAAATTATTTATTAAAAATTAATATTATCTTTATTCTTCAACAGACGCCAATCGTCCACCTATATTTTTTTTTCAATTTTATAATTATTAATTTTAATTAGTAGGCCCCACAAGAGAAAAATTAGAAAAAAAAAAGAAAAAAAAGTTAAGAAAAACATTGATTCACCGCATGGCGAACCAAAATCTAACGGTAAATATATATATATTAGATATTATATATATTTTATTTTTGTAATTTATATTGAATTTATTGTTATATTTAAATTTTATAGTATTTTTATAATATATAATATTTTGTAACCAAAATCTAACGGTAAATATATATATATATTAGATATTATATATATTTTATTTTTGTAATTTATATTGAATTTATTGTTATATTTAAATTTTATAGTATTTTTATAATTTATAATTATTTGAATTCTACAAAATGATATAAATATTGAATATATTTTATCAATTTGAAATTTAAAATACATAAATACAAATATTATATAATTCCATTGAACAAATCAATATTAACAGATTTAAGTTATTTGGTTCGATGAATAACTAAGTTAATTGTTTTTATTTTAATTTTAAATATTTTTATTGTAATTGCAATGTAATGTAATATTCCTTACGTCCCGAAACTATAGTCATGGTTGCGTTGGATACGAGATTTACGGAATGTTAATATTATATTGACAATGGGTAAAAAGTATAGATAAAAGACATTTTTTTTTATCCTTGTGAGTGAATTAGTGTAAAAGACAGTGGCAATTGTATTGTGTAATAATAATGAAAGAGTAAGGGCATTTATATAATAATATGATTATTTATGAAAATAAGATTATTGTTTTTGAACGGACAGACAAAGATGGTAAACAAGACTATTATATTGGGACGGAGGAACTATAATGTAATTTTTTCTTCAAAAAATTTAATTACTATTTTTATATTTTATTTTTTAATTAACCAATAATAATTATAACAAGAAAAATACAAATTTGATATTAAAATTAAAAGTTAAAAATAAATTAAAACTAAATTTAATTAAATCATAAATAATACTCCCTCCGTTCCGTTGGAAGGGTGACGTTTGATTTTTGCACGTAAATTTTTTAATATTAGTATTATATTAGATTGTAGTAAAAAGACAAAAATACTCCTATTAGTACGGTGTAATATAAAAATATTGACATTTGTGTAATATTTTGTAAGTTGAAATGGTATTTATTATCTTACGTAGGTAGTATAATTACTAAATTAGGAAATGATAACCTTATTTTGGAACGGACGAAAATGAAAAATAGTAACATTTCAAAGAGGGAGTATAACTTTGTTTCCATAATTTTTTAATAAATTAAAATATTGAAAAATAATAATATAATATAATAATTAAATAAATAATTAATGCTAAAAATTAAAACTATAATTAAAAAATAATATATATATAATATGAAAATAAAAATTTATTAAAAAATTAAGATGACTATCTTTATTGCAAATATAAAATAGAAGAGAGTATCTCCGATAGAAAAATAAAGTGACGTGGATAACAAAAAAAGTAGTGGAGTGGATATCTCCAGGGGATGGTCTAACATACTACAATAGAAATTACTCTAACCTCCGGGTTATGGGTTTAAGTACGATGCTTTTAGGTTAATTTGCCATCCATATAGTTTCATAGTTTCCTTATTTAGTTGGCTCGGTTTTCAACGTTAAAAAAAATAGAAATTACTATTCCTCACCTTAGGTTAGATTTCCTCTTTGGCTAAGGCAATTAGTTATAATACTACTATGATTTTATTATTTTCATATAAATAGTATTATTGATATTTTAAATATTTTAAAATTATATTTTGATAAAATATATAAAATATAAATATATATTTATTTATTATTTTATAAATTAAAATGTTAAAAAATGAGAAGTAAACAAATCAATATTTACTTGCTTCATTCCATATTTATTTACAATAAATATTAACTTTATTATATTCCCTCCTTTTATTTATTTTTATTTTTAAATAAATTTCCAAAAATGCCACAAATTATCATCTATCATTATTTCAATAAAATATTATTTTTTTAAAAAATTTTGTGTCGAACACAAATGAACTGTTTTTAGTGGACAGATATAGTATATAACATCATAAATCATTTAGAATCCACTAAATCCCTTTATTTTTATTTTTTGCGATATAAATTTTAAAATATCTAAATACATATTTTAATTTTTTAAATTATATATATTATTGTTGATGTAATTTTTCAACAAAAATAAAGTAAAATTCAAAGACATAGAAAATATCCTTAAACTTGATTAATTAGTGCCTGAGATTAGGAATCTCTAAACACTGTACGGTACAGAAAATAAACTGGAAAATAAAAGACTGAAATTTAAAGTGGTGATCCCCAAATCTGACTTTGCTTTGTTGAAGTTGATTGAAGATGCCTTGCCAAATGATGATCCAAATCCTTAAATATTCTTTGAAGAAAACGTTCAGAACCGTCGCACTGTTTCACCAACCGTTCCCACCCGTTACAGAACTCAGAACTGCCTCTTTCATTGACACATGTCTTTAACCGCCTCGCCAACCGCATAACCCAACGACCGACCAACCGACCAATCTAGATACATAATTGGTCGCCAGATCAAAAGACTCACTGGTCGCCCCATCAAACGACCACTATTTGGTCTCTTCAATCGTCTGACCTATCAACAGACCTTTCTTCGCCCGACTTCCTTTTTCGACCGACCCCCATAGCATCCAACCTTTGTATCAACCGACCCATTTATCCGACTGCGGATAATCCGACCTGCTTGCCCGACCGCGGACCATCTGACTTGCTTATCTGATTGAGAACCAACAGACTGAGAACCCACCGACTGACTCTGGATACCTTATTATTATTATTATTATTATTATAATTATTATTATTATTATTATTATTATTTTTTGTGCTTAACAACATGTCTCCTCCTCAAGACTCCTAAGCATCATTTCTTATGATGTTTTAGGAGTTAGTAGGTTAGCATCCGAGGCTACGTCAGCCTCAGATCCGACCTCCATCCTTTGAGGCTACGTTGGACCCGACCTCCATTTATCGCGGACTGGTGTTGGCCTGGACGTTGGTCGATCTTGCACTACCATTGTATTCAGACTCCCGTCCGACTTATTCCTCCGTTCGGCCACTGTTGTTCTGTCATTCTTTTGCTCGCCTGAAAAGTTATGGTCGGCGACCTGACCCGTGTCCGTCCATTCGGCGGGGTCCTCATGACCTGTATCCGTCCATTCGGCGGGGTCCTCCTGACCTGTATCCGTCCAGGTTACGTAGTCCTCCCGATTTTTGTCCGTCCAGTCGACGTGGTCTTCCCGATCTGTATTCGTCCAGTCGGCGTGGTCCTCCTGACCTGTATCCGTCCAGGTTACGTAGTCCTCCCGATTTTTGTCCGTCCAGTCGACGTGGTCTTCCCGATCTGTATTCGTCCAGTCGGCGTGGTCCTCGTCCGTCCATTCGGTGTGGTTGTCCCGACTACGGTCCGTCCATTCGGTGTGGTCCTCCCGACCATGGTCCGTCCAGTCGGTGTGGTCTTCCCGACCATGGTCCGTCCAGGCGTCGTGATCCTGCCGACCTGTCTCCGTCCATTCGGTCGTCCCTGGTCGGGCCTGTCCTCCTGTTTGGTCCTGTCTCCAGTCTGTCTGACTGGGTATATGCTCAGGAATGGCGTTGTCCGTTTGGGGGCATGACATTTCTGGCGGTGCAGGAACCGAATTCAACATGAATTTTGATTGCTCCATCAAGTTTTGCATTGCGTCATGTATTGCCTGCAGATTTGCTATCTGCTGGTCGTACATTTGCCGAAAACCTGCTGTCAATTCGGCCCGTAGTTGGGAAGCTTCTTCTGCCGTGATAAAGCCAACGGCTGTACTGTGGAATTGAAAATTTGCCATATGGATTAGCAATGTTCTCCCACTGTGGTCGCCAATTTGTTGATGTAATTTTTCAACAAAAATAAAGTAAAATTCAAAGACATAGAAAATATCCTTAAACTTGATTAATTAGTGCCTGAGATTAGGAATCTCTAAACACTGTACGGTACAGAAAATAAACTGGAAAATAAAAGACTGAAATTTAAAGTGGTGATCCCCAAATCTGACTTTGCTTTGTTGAAGTTGATTGAAGATGCCTTGCCAAATGATGATCCAAATCCTTAAATATTCTTTGAAGAAAACGTTCAGAACCGTCGCACTGTTTCACCAACCGTTCCCACCCGTTACAGAACTCAGAACTGCCTCTTTCATTGACACATGTCTTTAACCGCCTCGCCAACCGCATAACCCAACGACCGACCAACCGACCAATCTAGATACATAATTGGTCGCCAGATCAAAAGACTCACTGGTCGCCCCATCAAACGACCACTATTTGGTCTCTTCAATCGTCTGACCTATCAACAGACCTTTCTTCGCCCGACTTCCTTTTTCGACCGACCCCCATAGCAGCCAACCTTTGTATCAACCGACCCATTTATCCGACTGCGGATAATCCGACCTGCTTGCCCGACCGCGGACCATCTGACTTGCTTATCTGATTGAGAACCAACAGACTGAGAACCCACCGACTGACTCTGGATACCTTATTATTATTATTATTATTATAATTATTATTATTATTATTATTTTTTTTTTTTTGCGTAACAATTATATTTATTTTAAAATTGTCAATATTATTAGTTAAATATTATTGTCTTAAATAGCTATCCCTAATAAAAAATATCAACTATGTTGAGACTGACAGAATATATATATATATATTCATGGAGCTGAAATAGTGAAATGAAGTGAAGTTATATGAAATGGGACTAAAAATGAAACTTGCTTGTTTTGTTATATCAGGGCGACTTCAGACACGAAATGAAATGAAGTGAATGGGAGAGAAAGGCGGGGCGCATTATAATAACGCACCTCTAATTTTCACTGAGCAGAAATGAAAGGAAAGTACCACCTCAAATTTTAATCGGTTTCATTTATCAATTAAATTAAATTAATTGATTGATTTGGCGACGGCGACGACCACGATGACGACGTCGAAAATGGCTGTAGGGCTGCTGCTGCTGCTCGTATCCTCCTCCCTTCTCCCGCCGGCGGTGCAGTCTCACCTCCTCCCCCTCACACCCGACTACTACCGCAAGTCGTGCCCTCGATTCTCCAAAATCGTCCAGGAAGTGGTGGTGGACAAGCAGCTGGGCTTCCCGACCACCGCCGCCGGGGCCCTCCGCCTCCTCTTCCACGACTGCGTAGTGGGCGGGTGCGACGCCTCCCTGCTCATCGCCTCCAACGCCTTCAACGAGGCGGAGCGGGACAGCCCCGACAACCGGGACCTCCCCGGGGACGCCTTCGACGTGGTGACGCGGGCCAAGACGCGGCTGGAGCTGGAGTGCCCCGGGGTGGTGTCGTGCGCCGACATCCTGGCGGAGGCGACGCGGGACCTGGTGTCGATGGTGGGCGGGCCGTTCTACGGGGTCCGGCTGGGGCGGCTGGACGCCACGGAGTCGCGGGCGGGGGCGGTGGAGGGGCACATCGCACGCCCCAACATGTCGCTCTCCCGCATCATCGACATCTTCGCGGGCAGCGGCCTGGGCGTGCCGGAGATGGTGGCGCTGGCGGGGGCGCACACCATCGGCTTCTCCCACTGCGCCCAGTTCGCGGGCCGGATCTTCTCAGAGCCGCCCGACCCGAGCATGAACCCGGCCTACGCGGAGGGCCTCCGGAAGCTCTGCGCCAACTACACCCGGGACCCGTCCGTGGCGGCGTTCAACGACCCCATGACGCCCGGGAAGTTCGACAACATGTACTACCTGAACCTGCAGCGGGGGATAGGCCTGCTGGCGTCGGACCAGGCCATGGCCGCCGACCCGCGGACCAGGGGCTACGTGGACCTCTACGCCGCCAACCAGACGGCGTTCTTCCAGGCGTTCGCCAGGGCCATGGAGAAGGTGGGCGAGATGAACGTGCTGCTGCCCGGCGGGGGGAGGGGGGAGGTCAGGCGGAGGTGCGACGCCACGAACACGCTCACGGCCGCCTGACAGGCTCCGGCGATTGGAACGATACCGATAATATCATTATTCATTATTGGCCAATACTGCTGACTGACACGCATTGAGTAATGAGTAGCAGTAGCTAGCTGCAGCCGTGACTGTGGCTGTGGTGACTGATCGACGATGCATCCAAATAGGGTTGAATTGATCTAATTTTTTGTACTGGGTCTGATGGGCAGGGGGCAGCAGTATGAAAGCAGGCATACGCAGATTGATTGGTTGGTGGGTTGGTTGATGGGTGGATATATGTATATATTGGCATGGTACTATGTGTTAGTTTGTGTGTCTTGGTATGGAATTACGTAATAAATAATTTGATACTCCATTATACCATACCTCATGAAAATAAAAATAAAAATAGTGGTATATTTTTATTTGATAATGGAACTGCATATAATATTTTATTGCCAAACGCAATCAAATTCAGATGACCAGAAGAAGATAATATCCCAACTCTTGTAATTCTTTTCTTTTGGCTAGCTAAAAGATGGGAGAATACTAATCAATGCCTTACATATTTTAAAAATAAAAAATAAAAATCGAGAATTCATTGTATATATAAAACTAACAATGTCCATGTTCGGTGACGGATTACTTCACATCATAGCAGTCACGCACACAACCTAATACCATGCAAGTGGAACGAATGAATAAACAAACACGCATGCAGATGCAGCCTTTGATCAAGGCAATGAAAGTAATCTGGTCAAGGAAGCCAAGCCACTTAACATCATCCATCCAATAGACAGCACACAGCACGGACACGGGGTGGGCTGGGCGATCATATTTAGTAAAACATGCATAGATTATCCATGCGCATAAGAGAAATGACTTCCAACAAAGAGAAATCATCGTGTTTTGTCCACTATCTACAAGCAAAAGCATAAGCAAAAATGATATAATGGCTATTTAGCACAATCAAGGCACTTACAATACGCTTACAGTAGTGATACCTTTAACTTGTTAGCAAGAAGCCATCAAAGTAATCACCACCACATGCAGATTTCCGCATGTTTGTGTAGTGTTATCAAAGGAATGTGGCTCCTCATATGGCACATAAAGATACCATTGAAACAAAATCATGAGAAGAAACTCTTACATACATATAAAGGATATAGAATGTACTTCCATCCCATGCATGGACAATACTGACCATAGTGATTAAGCTAGGAAGCTGCGGAATCATCATATTGATCATTTAATGGCCAAACTCTCGGAGAAAATAGCAAAACAATGAAACTGCACCACAAATCTGCAACATGTACAGCCATCAAGCTTCCTGTTTTTGACGCGGCTGTAACGTAAGCAGGATTTTCTTCCTTGGTCCCTGGGATTAGTTAGCCTTCAATAAGAATGCGTGTAATATCTTATCCAAAGAAGCAAATACAGCAAAGCTTTAACTTTTTTTTTTATATACCACTGAGCTAATAGCCCGTCGTGCGAGCCTCCCGCTGGGTTATACTACAAATTTATTTTACATTCAAAATATCACATCAACATCTATTTATATCATATCAAACAACTATTCAAATTCAACTTTTTACTACTAAAAAATCCAAACCCAAAAACCCTAACCCACAAACAAACACACCATAAAAAATTCTTCCTATCTAGTTAACGGTCAAACATATAGCTAAAATCGGCAAGAACACCCAACATTTGAAATAATGAAGGATTATCTAGGGCCAATGTTAATGAAACACAAAAAATCTAAACATCCTTGTACTTCGCTTTTTAGTTTTAAGCTTATAGGTAGCTTTGCGAATTCAAAAGCTCTGACAAGCTCAAGACAGATTACATTCCATGCATAACATTAAATAAAGTTAGAGTATTACCATGGGTAATCCCATTTCTTTTAGGTCTCTCTCAGTCATCCGTTTCAAAGAATACATATCCACCTGCACAAGGGATCAACTTCAAATTGTTAATAAGGATCATCAAATTTCTCAAGTTACATAATATTTTGTTTATTCACTAGCATAGCTGATAAACACAAGGAAGAAAGAGCAGGCATTTAGAATTGGCAATGGCCTCTGCAGCAGAAAATGGACATGAAAATATTGACTCCACATTAAAAGTGAATCATTTGAGACTAACAGCAAATAGTTTTCATCCGAGCCAGGCAAATTCACTTAAGCCCTTTTATTTATGCATTCATGAGGACGGTAAATTGACTGCTTCTTCACTTTCTTAAAGTGTAATGACTGGGGCATTAAAGAAGGGTAGAAGGGAAGCGAAGAGAAACTCCATGCAGAACAGTAAAGGTACAAAGCAGTTAAAATATCACATAAGATTACGTACTTCCTCGGCCTTAAAGAGAATAGTATATTTTTCAAGACCCAATGAACGCAAAAAGCTCTCAACAGTAACCTGATCATCCACCTGCAAGCATAGAACCCAGTTGGCAACGCATTCAAATTGACCTTGATGATACAATCACATATATTCTAAGATATTTCAATTCTTCCTTCGTCTTTCGGAATTCTTATGTGTATTTAACACTGCAATATTAATATACTTGACATATTTGTAAGAAGGATAACAAATCTGTGGAATTCTACCAGTAACTATTGAAGAAAGGGTCATCCTAGCAACTGGACACAGATAAATTGTGGAACTTATATAATAAATTTTTTCAAGTAGGTCATTTAAAAGGTGCAAACTCTTTGGGCCTAATAAAACAATCAAAGTAGGAGCTCAATAATATTAAGTGCAGAGGGAAAGCTAGGATGTTCTCATGTTCAGAAAAGTGAACCTTCCATGCACATATAATCCATTATTTCAATTTCTGAGAAATATGCAATTGGTTTATGAAGTTCAAATTTAAAAAAAGAACTTTCAGTTTCTTTCATCTCTCTAAAATTATCAATTTTATCCTTTCAAATAATCCAAGTAAATTAGGCATTGCAATTTTATTGACCACAATGGATGATCACATCAACTCTAATATATGCCAAGATAATTAAAAAAAAATAAAGAAAGAAATAAAGAGTCTAGGGAAGAAAAAAGTAATAAATAATAAGAGAACGGCACCCCATATGAGCTTTTCTGCAGAAAATTCCCAGATGCAGGAAGTATAGGGTTGATTGGTGCCATAGGCTTCATCTGTCCAACTGGTGGAGCCATTTTACTCAAGTGAGATGAACTCATGGGTCTCGAAATATCCAAAACATCTTTTGAAACGTATGAATTTTTCCTAGCATCATCATATGGCCTAACAGCATATCTCATTTGCAGTTCATCATCCCTTTTTGGTGCAGTCACACCTCTACTTGTTGCAAAAGATTCATCAGGTGATCTTTGCCTCAACCGATCCAATGTCCATGGAGAATAAGAACTAATACCTGACTCCATTCTGTCCATTGACTTGGGAGCTCTCATTCCGGGTAAATCTCGCATCATACCAGGATAACTAGACTCAGGAACACGATTCCCAACATCTTTTTCCATATTAATGTTTCCCCCACCTCCAGTGGCTTCCAGGGTGTTCTGTTTCCTATGATTTGGTGCATGCTGAACCCGAAATTCAGGTATGTGCTGGCTCATACTTTGGGTGACGGGCAGTGAATGTCTACCATCATTGGTCTCTATAGAGTACTGTCTGCCTTCCATTGGCTCTAAATTCTGCAGTCGGCTATCCTTTGACGCAGGTATCCTCCCCCGTGAAGATATGCTATTTGTAGAAGATTGTGAGGGCCTTGACAGAATATTGCGGAGATCCAGACCATTCTGCTGGTTATTTTGACTCTGCTTCAGCATATTTCTTTTCATGATTTTGTACCGGAGATCATCCTTGCTAAGATGGATGTCTTTATTCAATTGAAATCACCAAAATTTGCAGATTATTTACCAACCAAAACTCAAACAACAATAAAGAATATTAAATACAAGCCAATTACCAGAAGAAGCATTGGCATTTCTACCATCACCCCGCAATCTGCAAATCATTATTACAGAAATTATGTCTTCTATATCCTTTATTGGTCAAACACCACACATATACTGTCTAGTTCCTTTAGGATTAGCTAAGTGAAGTACCACCTTATTAAACCATTTTTCAGCAAAATGCCAAAAACAAATAATATTTAGACATACCAGTACATAAATCAACATGAAAGGTAATACTGTCAAGTATGTTAACAAATTCTAGAATTTTCAAAGTAGATAATTGAATATCAAATAATCAATCAAAACAAACCTTTTGTTGGTGATTTGGGCAGATGAATCTACCGTATTTCCAAGCCTTTCATGAACCGACCTTTTGCTTCCCGCCACCGGATGCAAATCAGTAAAAGACCTATCCATCTCACCCCCATCTCTTTTAACTACCTATAAACAAGAAAGAATCTAAATGCTCACGAAGAGTATGCATCGTAATCCTGGTTGTTCTTTTAAAAGCAATCAAACCCACTGTTTTAAGCTCAACCAAATTGTCACATATCAATGATATTCAAGCGCGCACACACGGACTCTCATATGACCTCCCATACGAACGAACATACTCAAAATACCCTCAGAAATGCATTCCAAAATCGCTTGAATAAATTACTGCGACTTTTAGAAAGCTGTTAAAAGAATTACCTGCCCGGTGCGTCCGAGGGTAATGGTAACTCGAGATCTTGAAGATTCCGACATTTGATCTTGCAAACGGTGTTAGGGATTCAGCAGAACTTGCGAATCACACTTGAATGGAAATGAAAAATCGACACAGAAACATATAATCAGGACTCGGTAACCGAGATTTGTCGTCCGCCAAATGGAAGGGCGGATTAGGGTTTCGCCATGTTTAGAGAGAGAAACAGAGGCCGAAAATTGCTTTGCTGGAGCCGAAACGCGAAAGCTAACCCGACAGTAGTACAAGCATGGCGCGTGCTATGAACTCGTTGGAGCACTCGGCATCAAAATGGCGGGCAGCGCAAGCCCATCCAAGACTCCGGTAGTCGACCCAACTTTTTGGGATTCCGACAACTGCAAGTTTGCGGGGCTTATAATTAATTAACAATCGCCTGGGCTGTATATATAACTTCGCTGCTGGGTTCATATTTTGAAGCGTAACTCGCCTGGGCTATGAAGGTAACCTACTGTAGTGGGCTAGTTGGGATTGCGTCCAGTTCTATGTTGTAGTCTGGCCAGCAGTCAACAATCAGCCCAATACTTTTATATTCTATGGGTATATCTAAAAATATTTCTAGTATATATTAATTTTATGTTTTATACCAATAAATTTCTAGGCAGTATTTATTTATATATATATATATATATAATAGTTGTAAGTGTAGAAATTTTAGATTTGTTATAACTTTGCAAAGTCCAACTTGGAGCGAAGCCAAATAAAATCTTCTCCCAAGTTCCCCATAATTGGCATCGACAAATATTGAAGTCATATGATAATTCGTGTACATGTGAAAATATATTACATAGTCTATTGACTAATTTGCCGTGCGAGTAATTTAATTAATGGCCCTCTTCAACAGATAGTATAGACATAGTCACTTCAAATTCAATCCACCAAGCAAGTCAGGGACCCTAACTTGCCAGACCTTAATTTCCTTATCCAAGCTGCCGCTGTAGAGCAGGTAGGATTGGGCTTGGGCTTGGGCGTGGGCCGAGTCGGGGTCGGAGTCCGCCGCCAAAGCCAAACACTTGACCGGACTCGCATGCCCTTCCAGCACTCCCAAACACGCGTAGTCACCCATCACCCCCCTCCGCCAAATCCTCACCGTCCGATCCGCCGACCCACTGCACACCAAATCGGAATCCCCGCCCCCCGCAGTTGCATGAATCGCCAGGCACAGGATCGCCTGGGTGTGCCCCCTCAGCGCCCCCGCCACCGCCATATGGCCGACGCCGTTCGTCTCCCTCTCCCAGACGATGATCGACCGGTCGCAGGCGCCCGAGAAGAGCGTCGAGCCGTCGCTGCTCAAGGCCAATGTGTTCACCGCCGATTTGTGCCTCTCCAGAGTCGCAATCAAGGAGTGCTTGCCCTTGCCCTCCCCCGCCACTCTCACCCACACCTTGATTTTCTTGTCCGCCGATCCCGTGTACACTGTGCCGTCCCTGGACAGCACCACGGCGTTTATGGCGTCATCGTGTGCGTTTTGGACGGACTCCAGGCACCTGAAGCTCGACGTCTGCCACACTTTGAGCGTCCTGTCCCACGACACGGAGTACAGCAGCGACCCGTCCGCCGTCACGGCGAGAGCCGAGACGGCGTCCACGTGATGCACCCACGTGCATCTCTTGTGCCCCCGGACTTTGACGTAGTTCTTTGCGGAGAAGAGACGCGAACACCGGTCGCCCAGCGTCGGGAGGATCGCCACCAATCTGTGCTTCTGCTGCTGTGAGGAATCAATTCTCCATACGCGAATTCTGTGGTCGTGGTGCGCTGTGAAGATTCTGGCGCCTACAACCGCAATGGATTTCACGGCGCTGAGGTTGGCTGCAATGGGGTGTTCATTGCAGGAGGTGGGATCTCGATCCCATGTTCGGAGCTGGCCGTCGGAGTCGCCAGCGTAGAGGCGTTTAGCTGCGATTGCGAGAGAGAAAATGTAGGAGCGGGCTCTGAGTGTGGCCAAGCAGTGGTGGTGGGTGGGTGGGGGTTGGTGGGACTGGGAAGAAGGGAGGGGTGACAAGGAAGGAAGGGATTGGAGACTGGACTGTGAGGAGAGGGAAGACGGAGGATTAGGAGTAGGATCGAGAGGGAAAGGGAAGTTGTGGGAATCTCGGAGTTGATTTGAATGGAAAAGTCTGACCATACTTTGTGGTTATTCCAGCGTAGAAGAAAATAAGAAGAAGAAGAAGAAGAAGAAGAAGTTGGTGTGGATTGGAGAAAACTGAGTGAGAATGAGTCACTTATATAGAATAGAGCAGAGCAGAGATGGAAGAGGGAGTGAGTGTTTGTTATGTGGAATGAATGAAATAGTTGCTATGAAATATGATCCTACTAGCAGTAGGAGGGAATATGATCTGATTTGATGAGAGTCAATAAAGAAGTCGTGCAGGTGTGAAAATGAAGAAGATGATTGCAGATTCATTTGTAGGCTAGCTGGCGGCCTCTGCCTTGCCTGCCTGTAAACGGCGGGGTGGGGGATGCAAGTTGGAACAAGACATTTATGCATATCTAGAGAGAGAGAGAGAGAGAGAGTTGAGGTCCCTGAGGAAGGAGGGAAGGAATGGACAAAAAGAAAGCGCCCCTGGCCTGGGTGACCGCGATCTATCTCACTAAAACAACCACAACAACATATTGGAGGAAACTTCTTCGTCCCTGCCCTCTCTCCCACTCCCATGCCTCAACATCAGACATACATGTAATTGATCATACATCCTCTTAAAGTTATGCTCTTAGATGGCGATAAGAAGCTCTTGTATAAATAGTATTTGTTTTATTTTTATCCCCCGAGTACTTTGGCTCTGGACTGGACTGGACACGTGTGTTAGACGGACGTTTATAGGGTTTCTTATTGTGTTTGCGTCAAGTATTTAGTCGCACAATCAGACAGTCACAAATTGTTGAATTAGTGAAAAAGAATAATATTGACTTAATTTTCTTATAAGATTATTTTAGTTTATTTACTTTAATAAAGTACAATCATTATTTCAATTTATAGCATGTATTCTTCCATCCATTTGATGAGGAGTTGAATAGAGCTGGGCCAAAAACAAAGAGGCCCGATTATATTGAGATTCAGTCAGTCGGTGGTCAATATATTGCGGCGGAGATAGAAAACCACACTCCAACTGGCCAAGTAGCCAATCGCCAGCCCCCTCCAATCTCCTCTTCTAGTCTAGCGACATACATACAATTAAAATAATTAATTAATAAATATATAAAAATTGTTGTAATCCTATTTGACAACCCATACCCATAGTTTAATTCTCCCCCCAAAAGCACTACTTATTTTCGAATTATGTATTTTTTAAAATAAATATTATATTTAATAACTATTTTTATTTAAAAGGATTATATATCTATAAAATATTTTTCATGCTACAATTTAATTTTACTCTTCAAAGAAAAAATTAAAAATATTAAAATACCTTCAAATCAAAATATATGCGAACGAACCATTATAATCTATTTTTGAATTTAAATGGAATTCAAGTTGGAGGGGGGAAAAGGCAGCAGTCGCTGTTGGTCATTTATGGCCAAGCCAGAGGCGACTTTGCCCAAATTTTCCTTTGTCCTATCCAATCCTTGCGCGTCTTTATTTCAGGTCATATATTGGCTTAGTATGACTTATTTTTCAGACTTAATTTGTAAAGTATTAGGTTCAATCGGGGTTTACCCTGTGTGTACGGAACTTTAATACTCCCTCCGTCCCGCATACCATTTCCACATTGCCGTTTCTGCTCGTCCCACGTACCATGTCACTTTTATTTTCTGGAAAATGATTATACACTTTAATTTCATTTTAAACTTTTTAATTTTACTTTTTTTTAAATTTTAATTAAACTAATTAGTTATTTTAATCTTAATTTATAATTATTCATAGGATAATTATTTTCACTAATACATTTTTAATTATCTACTAATTACACTCTTTCTAAAATACCGTGTGTACAGTATAGTAGCAGATACCATATATGGGACGGAGGTAGTACAAATTTCTTAATACTAGATTAGTTGGATTCATCCAATCTAGTTCTAGTTCTAGTAAAGGCCTGCATCTGTGTGGCCTCGAATGGGCCAACCTAAAGGACTTGGGCCGAACCGTATATTTACTAAGAAAAACAACGTCTATGTTTTACTTTAGTTTATTTGCAGGACTGATCTAATGGTTGGCCTTGGAGCAAAGACGAGAGAGCTACTGTTTTATGGCACGAGGCACATCTAAGGTGTGTTTGTCTGGCTTTGATTTTTGAGTTAGAAATATAAATAATAAAAATTTTGAATTTGAACAGTTATAGTTATATGATGAATAGTATATTTGAAGGAGAATCCAAGAAAACAAACACACCCCTAATGGATCTTCATGCTGCCTAATTAATGACTGTACTAATTGTTAATTGAACCCAACCATCAATGTAATAATGTGGAAGAGCAAAAAACATCCATCATCACTCGTCGATCTCATCTGTAAATAAGATGAATCCAATCATATATATATATATAAGAACGCAATGAATTCAATAAAAAATAAGGAGTAACAAATAAGTATACACGATACGAGAATGTATGTAATGTGCGTATGCCTGCCCCTGCCTGTAATCATGATCCTATATATAATAAATATCATAACAACAGCAACGACGACGACAGGAATCCGAGAAGCAGCAGCAGCGCCAGTCCAGGGCCCCGCTGCAGCTGGTGGGCCCCGCCACCCGTATCCGAGTCCGACTGGCCGGTCGGGGTCACGCCCGGAGCCCCCGGGGCGACGTAATTAGGGTTGGAGCCGTACAGCTGCTGGATGCCCGCGATGTCGTCGCCCGCCAGCTCCACCTTGCGGGTGCCCGACGTGATGGACGGGTACATGATCGCCTCCTCCGCCGAGCTGTGCCCCAGCCCCAGCAGATGCCCGATCTCGTGCACCGCCACCGACTCCAGGTCCACTCCCGCCGGGCTATTCCGGAGATCGCCGCCGTCCACCACCCAATTCTCGTCGCCGTCCAAGTGGAATACCCCCGCCGGCGGGGAGAAGGCGTGCGCCAGCGTCCCCAGCACGCCGTCGAACGGCTCCCCGTCGCCGTGCTCCCCGCTGAAGAACCCAATCCTTATGTCGGTGCGGCCGCCGCCCGCCTCCACGAACGTCAGCGGCGTCACCTCCGACCACCGCTCGAAGGCGCGCTGGAACACGCCCCGGACCCTGTCGGAGAGCTCGTTGTCGAAGGAGTAGGTGAGGCGGCTTCTTCTCCTGGGCCACCGCGGGCGATTCGGGAAGAAGGAGTAGTGCGCCACTGTGCCGAGGCCAGCAGCGGTGCCGGCGTTGTGCCTGCGCATCATCGTGGAGGTGCCGTTGACGACGTCCGGATTGCCGCAGCGGGGGAGCACGATGTGCCGCAGCGTGGGGGGGTCGAGTTCGCCGGTGGCGTCGAGGTTGAAATTGAGCTGGTAGCTCTTGACCGCGGATTCGAGGAAGTCGTCAAATTCGTCGGAGAAATCGTGATCGCCGGAGCTGTTGAGGTAACCGAAGCGCTGGAAGTATTTCTTGAGGGTGGATAGGCCCGGGGTTTGAAGGCCTTTGCGGCAGCCGGCGAGGCCATTGAAGGCGTCCCAGATGGAAGAGTTGGGCTTGGGGATCAGGGAGGGAGGGATGGAGGAGATGTTGGGGAAGAAGTGGGCCGAGGCAGGCTTGATGATTGGCTGATCAGTGGAGATATCTGAGAGCACTGTGAGCAGCAGCAGCAACAACAATAACCGATTTGGATTTGGAGGAGGAGAAAGAGAAGGATTATTGATGCTGGTGTGAGGTCGTGTCATGGTGTATTATTATGTACTAGGAATGAAATAGTATGTGATCCGTCTGTCTGTGTCGGCAGGCAGGAGCTGAACTGTGGCAGAGCTTGCTTAATTAATAAAAACCCCCCTGTTTGATACTTGAACTCGATCGTTCGGGTTCTAGTACAAAACAACACGACGATGATGATGATGATGATGGTGGTGGTGACGTACGTTGTTGTAGTTAAGTTCTAATAAGTCGGTTTAATTAACGTGTGGCTGTGGGTGTGGGTGTGGGGAAGAAAGAGAGGCAGTCCAGCCAGCCGGACAACTGATTCAACAATATTAATCTGTCAGGTCAGTTCGTCGACTCGGACTTAGTCAGCTTTTAATTAATTTTGATATACTAGTACGATAAATTATTAAGCTACTACGATCGAGAGTCAGCCAATTAGATATCTGGTCTGAGGGAGGTTGTTACTTGCTACTGCTAGTTAGTTAGCTTCGTCTAAGTTGTTGCGCAAGACTTTTCAATTACGTGCCACGAAGACCTTACTCTTATTAATTAATTCGCCTAGGATATTAGAAATGTCAACTTTCGTATTATGTTGGTTAACCTGTTTCTGTAATACTTTTTGTGACACACGCACACGCATTTAAACAAATAGATAAATAAATAAATAAATAATTGTGGTGTGTAAACAAGAAGTTGCAGCAGGATTATTGAGTTGGAACCAAACAAACAGACTGAAAGTGGGCTAATGCTTTATATGGGGTGGCTCCGTGGCTGTATGTCTGTATCATGTATTACTTGTTCTATTTACACTAGCACTACCAGGCCCCGATCGATCCATCCTTCCATCTTCAAACAAATAATCCAACCCATCCTTGGATTAACTGCCAATGTCAAATCGTCTTCATAAATATATTTTCTTCTGTTGTCATAATAATAATAATAATACATAGTTGAAGATTGAAATTGATTGTCCCTCTAAACAAAACGCAAGGGCATGGAATCTTTAATAAGGAGGTTCATGTTCTGGCCGTCGATGTCAGTCATGTTGATGGAAAAGTAATAGAAAGATTGCTCAGAATCAAAGGTATGTCCTATTTAATTTGTTTATACACATATAGATGTTTCTCCGGGTGATGCTGGAATCGAATGAATAGTTGCAGTGACGGCAGTGGGTCCTAACCCTAACTTCTTTCCTTCATGAACATAAATGTCAACACATTATATAGAAAGACATCCCAATATCCCATTCCCATTCCCATTTCCATAGTCACCATATGTATATACATAATCTCTTGGAAAATACTAATGAGATGTTGATATGAGAAGAGAGCAAGAGGGTGAAGGTGAGGCTGGGCTGGCTAGGCTAAGTGAAGTCCCGAGTGCCAGCCAGCCATGATCACATATATTCCTTCTGGATAGGCAAACTCAATCTTACTTTCTTATAACAACACGCACATCATATATGTATATATAACTGGTTGCTTGCTTTCTTGCTTCGTTACTTACTCAGTAGCTGAGCTGCCGAGTCCTGAGTTTGGGTCCTCATTGATTCACCACCCTCCGGTCCCCTCCCCTCTTAACCAACTAACACACCCCCACCAACCATCCATCAACCACCTGATCCACCATTATCCCTTCTTCTTCTTCATTCTCCATTCTTAATTTGATCAAACTAATTAACTGCCAACCCTAAACTTCCCAGCCAGTTCCCCATCTAATTTATTACATTTTATTATTGACAGAGACAGATAACATAGATAAACAACACTCACTTCAGAAATCCAAACCAGAGAGATGAGATGAGATGAGATGAGGTGAGAAGATACACACAAATACAAACACACTGATACAGACGATGATACACCCCACTCCACTCACCACTCACTGATCATGACCACATCAATTAATTGATTAAGCAAGCAAGCAATGATCATAAGAATCCACCCTTCTCCCGTCCTCTGCCCATGAAAATCTTCCTTGAGTTCTTTCCAACGTCCATTCACCATCCATTTCCCCATGGCTTCCCACCACTTTCCCTTTACTAGTAGTACCTCAATTCTTATCATTTGCCCACTGCTCATCCACCTTCACATGATCCTCTCCCTCTCCCTCCCTGCTCAATCCTTTTCCCAATCAACAAACTCCCCGCCAACCATCCCAACTTTCTATCCTCATCCTCCTCTTCCTCCGCCAAACTTATCATCATCATCATCATCATCATCATCATCATCATCCACTCGACAAGCTGCCGTGGGGAAGGCCATAGGTGTTGAATATTGTCCCACATTGCTAAATGTGTGGAAATTCCCCTAATATATAAGGGTGAAGGCCACTCCACCTATTACCAATTGGTTTTAGGTTGGATGCCCAGATCCCTTCTTAACATGATACCAGAGAAATGGTGTTTGTATTAGGTTTGAACCATCGGAAATCCTCTCCGTACCCACCCCAAGGGGTTCATCGTTGATGAGAATGTGTTGGATGTGCTGTACTGGAGGAACCTTCACCAACAACCTCAACCTCCTCAACCTGGAGCAGCAGGACAAGGACTATCCATCAACAACAACAACTCTTAGTGACATAGATGGAGATATAGAGATAGAGATCAGATTAAGCCCAGCAGAAAGCCGTCTGTACAACAAGTCCCCTTGCTTAGGGGAAACTCCTCAACCTCCCAGAGCCGTGTTTGGGGACAGCAACAGCAACATCACATCATCATGCAGAGACCTCCCTCGCTGTCACTTCCATCCACCGGGATGATGACGATGATGCCATCAACGTTGCCAAGACAGCCATCTCTAGTACTACTCCCAAAAGGGACCGCGTGTGGGTCTTGTAGGTTTGATGATGGTGTGTTATGGAGGCTCTGTTTGGATGGATATGTTGCCAGGAAGACGAGATCTCCGGGAAGAGATTCGCACATCTTCGTCCTTGATGCCCCTAGATCCCAAAAGGCGGCAAGTGTGATTAAATCCCTCAGCTGCAGCAGGCAAGGAGATCATGATTGCACTTGACGAGGGTCATGGCCTCAACGCTGATGCACTACAAAAGCTTGCCAGCATTGCTCCAAGCAAAGAGGAGGCCTCTCAAATCCTCTCATTCAGCGGGAGATCCCGCAAGGGTTGCTGATGCTGAATCATTCCTACACCGTCTCCGTACAGCCGTTCCATCTGCCTTTGCGCGGTTCGCCGCTACGCTCGCCAGATCAAAGTACAACCTGGAGGTTTCGCGAGTCAAGGAAGACTTGGAGTCCCTTGAATCAGCCTGCAAGGAGCTCAGGGTACCAAAGGCTGGGAACCGGCTAGGGAGAGGGAGAAATTATGCCATTTGACCTCAGCGCTTTGACGAACCTTTCCAATTCGTGGTGCAAGAAGTGGTTCGGGCAGAAGGGAAGCGCTGCTGCTGCATTCGCAATAAACATAATAATAATAATAATAATAATAGTAATAATAGAATTAGGGATGATGATGATCGGGAATTAGTGTACGAGAAAACAAGAAAGAAAACAAATAAAGAACACAGAGGTTTTACGTGGTTCGGTGACGGTGTATCAACCTATGTCCACGGGCAGGAACCAGAGAGATTTTATTATACTGATTCAGAGATTTACAATATGTCATCCGATTAAGAACCATAGTTGTCTATTTATAAGCATACCAAAACACCATAAATCCTAAGCCCATTTGTTATTAATTAGGATAAGCCCAAAAGGAACCCTGCCAATTGAAACAGCCATTTCGCTTTGGTTTAGGGTCGGGTAGACCGCTAAATCCAAGTCACGTTTCAACAATCTCCACATTGACTTGGAGTTTCTCCAATCGCCAAAGGTTCGTCAGTATCTCTCAGTCGTCTCCTTCCTGCCAGATGCCCCGAGAAGGCTTTACCTCCTACGAATATTCACCAAGTTCAAGCAGTGCTCAAACTTCTCCGTTGGTAGCGCCTTTATCAACATATCAGCTGGATTGTGTTCTGTAGCTATTTTCTGAATATAAAACTTGTCTTCCTCCAGAACATCACGGATAAAATTCAACCTTACATCAATATGTTTGGTTCTCTCATGATACACTGGATTTTTAGCCAAACTCAAAGCACTTTGACTATCACAGAATAACACCGGTTTTTCCACCTTCAGACCCAAACTCTGTACCAGACCATGTAACCAGATACCCTCCTTAATACCTTCAGTCATTGATATGTATTCCGCCTCAGTCGTCGACAATGCAACCGTAGGTTGTAAAGTAGACTTCCAACTGACTGCACATCCAAACAGAGTGAAGATAAAACAAGTTAGTGATCTTCGTTTCACCAAGTCACCCCCGTAATCAGAGTCTGCATAGCCGACAAGATCATCACTATGGCCTTTATCATCATATACCAGAAAAATATCAGACGCTCCTTTCAAATATCGCAAGATCCACTTTACAGCTCCCCAGTGAGCTTTACCTGGATTAGCCATAAACCTGCTCACCATACTAACCGCATAAGCGAGATCCGGTCTCGTACATACCATCGCATACATAAGACTTCCAACTGCACTTGAATATGGAACCGTCTTTATGTAACTAACCTCTTCATTTGTAGCCGGTATAGTGCTTCGATCAAGTTTAAAGTGTGCCGCCAAAGGGGTACTTACCGGTTTGGACTGATCAACAGAGAATGCCTGCAAAACTTTCTCAATATACTTTTCTTGAGAAACCCATAACCGTCTTGCTTCTCTATCACGCTAGATCTCCATACCAAGTATTTTCTTTGCCGCACCCAAATCCTTCATCTCAAACTCACACTATAGTAGAGCCTTCAAGTCATTAATTACAGCCATGTTCTTAGCTGCAATTAACATATCATCCACATACAACAGCAGATACACAAAGGAATCAGTAGAAACTTTCTTCGAGTAAACACAGTTATCAAACTGATTACGAGTATAACCATTGGACACCATGAATGAGTCAAATCTCTTGTACCATTGCCTCGGAGACTGTTTCAAGCCATACAGAGATTTCTTTAACAAGCATACCTGTGTCCCCTTTAGAACTGTAGAACCCCTCCGGTTGAGACATGTAAATCTGTTCTTCTAGATTACCATGAAGGAATGCTGTTTTTACATCAAGCTACTCCAGCTCCAGATCAAAAGCACCCACCATTGCCAAAAGAACCCGAATGGTTTTGTGTTTCACCACAGGAGAAAAGACTTCATGGTAATCGATTCCTTCCTTCTGTGAAAACCCTTTTGCCACCAGTCTCACCTTGAACCTAGCAGGTTCAACACCAGGAATTCCCTCATTTCTTTTAAAGACCCACTTGCATCCCACTGGCTTCACCCCTTTTGGTAGTGCAACAAGATCCCAAAGTCTTGTTCTTTTCAAGAGACTGCATCTCTTCATTCATTTCCATAATCCAAGTTTCTGCATCTTTACTCGTCACAGCTTCTTTATATGTCTTTGGCTCATCAGAGCCAAGATCATCACCAACCGCTAGTGCATAAGCAACATAATCCATGTCACAAGTATTGACACATCCTGCAAACCTAGCTGGTTTCTGAATATTTCTCTTTCCCTTTCTTGCTCAGCTTCCCCCTCAACCGGTTTCCCTTAAGATTTTGACTGATCTGGTTGATCGGATTGATCAATAGTATTATCCTGCTGCTTTTCCTCTAACACAACTCTGTCAGGAGTCTCAAACTCCACCCTCTGGTTAGCACCACAATTTTTTTGTACTTCACAACCTCTACTCTGATCAAGCATAGCAGATTCATCAAAGGTTACATCTCTGCTAATAAGAAATTTACCAGGATTTTTACCTTCTGTACACCACAGTCGATAACCTTTTACTCCTGTTGCATACCCTAGAAATATGCATTTTACCGCCCTCGGCTCCAGCTTACCATCATTCACATGAGCGTATGCAGGGCATCCAAATATTCTTAGATTACGAAGTCAATTGCAGTTGATGGAGATCTATTAACCAGATAGCTAGCAGTGTTTACTGCTTCAGCCCAGAATTGCTTAGACAAGCTAGCAAATATGCGCATACACCTAGCACGCGCCATGAGGGTCTGCAACTCCATTTTGCTGTGGTGTGTGTCGTACAGTGCAGTGCCTCACTATACCTTCTTTCTTGCAGAAATCATCAAATGGAGCGTTGCAGAACTCCAACCCATTATCAGTTCTTAGAGTCTTGACCTGTTTACCCGTCGGTTTTTCAACCATGGTCTTCCACTCCTTGAACTTCCAAAACACCTCATCTTTAGTCTTTAGAAAGTACAACCAGACTTTTCTCGAATAATCATCTATAAAAGTGACAAAGTAAGAACACCCGCCCTGCGATTTCACCGGAGAGGGACCCCGTAGATCTGAATGAACATACTCCAGAATTTCTTTTGAAGTGTGATGACCGGTACTAAACCTCACCCTGCGTTGCTTCCCTTTTACACAAGCCTCACAGAATTGAATTTTACCTATCACATCTCCACCAAATAAACCCTGCTTGCTCAACACAGACAACCCTAGCTCACTCATGTGACCTAATCGCCGGTGCCACAAATTTGTCCTGTCATCATGTTTATCCAAGGACTGGGATACCGCCGCCGTTCCCATCACTGAACTGCCCTGTAGAAAATAAATTCCATGCTGCAGTTTTCCTTTCATCATTACCAGCGCACCTTTCAGGACTTTCACCCACTCACCTTCACTATGATATTTTAAACTATTCTTGGCTAAGGTGCCAAGAGAAATCAAATTCTTTCTGAGTTCAGGAACATACCAACAGTCAAATTTCCTGACAGTACCGTCATGCAATTTTATCTGCACTACCCCGCTCCTCTTTATGGCTAGAACCCCATCATCACCTAACTTCACCGTTCCATTCCACTCTTTAAAAGAAGTGAGTAGATCACGAGAGAACGTCATATAGTGAGAAGCACTGGTATCCATAATCCAGGAATTAGCAGTACTTGCACTACACGCTGTCAGAACTTCACCAAAGTCCCCATCATCAGAACTGTCTTGTACCACAGCAGCACTGCTGCCACTGTTACTAGAATCAACTTTTGTATTTCCCTTCTTTTGTGGACAATCCCTTTTAACGTGTCATTTCTCCTTGCAAGGATAACACTTAACTTTGCTAGAGGATTTTGATTTTGATCGCGGCCTCCCATTCCCGTTACCCCTCTCCTGTGGTCTTCCCCTACCTGCAAACAGACCTGAACCAGAACTACCCTCTTCCAGAAACCTTTCTTTTCAATTCTTTGGACATAAGGACATCTTTCACATCATTAACAGAAATTGTAGTTCTACCATATAGCATAGTATCTACAAAATTCTCATATGAACCAGGTAGTGAACACAATAAAATTAGGGCTTGATCTTCATCATCTACTTTAACCTCAACTCCTTGAAGATCAAGAATGACACCGTTAAAGGTATCAAAATGATCTTTTACCTGAGTACTTTCGGACATCCGGAGGGTGTAAAGACGTTGGTTCTGATATAACCTGTTCGTGAGAGAGTTGTTTTGGTACTTCTCACACAGTTTATTCCATAACCCAAAAGCCGTTGTCTGATCTACAACCTCCCGTAACACCTCATCAGTAACTGACAGTAAGATCATGGAATGAGCCCTTGCCAAAATCTCTTTATTTACCTCCTCCTTCGTGTCTTTAGGAAACTTGTCTTCTCTCTCCAACGCAGCCGCACATCCTTGTTGAACCAGAAGTGCCCTCATCTTGACCTTTCAGAGCGTGAAGTCATTCGACCCATTAAACTTCTCCAGATCAAACTTATACGAAGACATCTTCAATCAATGAGATATGGTTCTAATACCACTTGTTATGAGAAAACGATAAAGAAAACAAATAAAGAACACAGAGGTTTTACGTGGTTCGGTGATGGTGTGTCAACCTACGTCCACGGGCAGGAACCGGAGAGATTTTATTATACTGATTCAGAGATTTACAATATGTCATCCGACTAAGAACCATAGTTATCTATTTATAAGCATCCCAAAACACCCTAAACCCTAAAACCATTTGTTATTAATTAGGATAAGCCCAAAAAGAACCCTACCAATTAAAACAGCCTTTCGCTTTAGTTTAGAATCGAGTAGACCGCTAAATCCAAGCCACGTTTCAACAATTAGAAATAGAAATAGAAACGGAAGTGGATAAGGAGGAGGAGGAGTACACGTACATGATGCTGGGCCTGCCCGTAATTGGTGAGTTGAGCGCGGAATTCCCTAACGTGAAGAAGGCGGCCTTGCTGGATGGTGATGTGGTTGCCAAAACAGGGCTGATGTTAGGAGCACGGTTGGCGGAGATACAGCAACACTTGGCCGAGAACAAGGGGCCGTTTGCAGGGGCAATGAGAGCCTTTCTTCGCAATGCGGAGCTGGAGATGGAAGTAGTGGTGCAGGACCAGGAGAGGGTGGTCCAGCTAGCAAAGGAAACCAGGGATTATTACTATCCATCGTCGGATTCGGATTCGGACTCCCTGCTGCAGAAGCAGAAGCGGAAGCGGAAGGAGAATCCACTGCAGCTGTTTGTTACAATGAAGAACTTTATGCAGATGCTTGATGGCGTCTGTGAGGACATTGCCAGAGATCTGGACAGGAGGAGGAGGAGGAGGAAAAGACCTACAGCACCGCCACCATCATCTGCATCTGTAGGGGGAGGAGGAGAATCAGGACACCCCTTGCTCCCCAGTCCCAGGGTGTTGAGGTTCCCAAAGCTACCGGAGAATTTCATGTCGGAGGAGGAGGAGGATTCAGGCGAGTCTCACAGGAAGAGGAGGATCGATCGTGAGGTAATGAAATGCTAAAATGAAACAGAGAGAGACTCACAGTGGTATTTGATACTAGTATTTGTTTATTGATTTATTTATTATTATTATTGACAAGCATAGAGATAGAAATACTGTACAATTTGCTCTGCATCAGCTGTTGTAACTTTGAGTTTCTGAAAAGCAGCATTGTGGTCTTTTGGAATCGGCTGCAACAGTCTACTACTGTTTTTAATGCACTCTGCTGCTATTTACTGCACACTGACTGACATACAGTACAAGTAATTTGTACATATCACTCGGGAATTCAGATGAACACAAGTCTGAAAACAGACTCAACAATATATATATATATATATGTGTGTAGGTAGCAGCTGCCGTTCATGTACAAACTAATACAAAATTTTAACTGAACGTACACAAACAAGCTCTCAAGCTCCCAAGCAGCTGAGATGAAACAGACAACAGTTTCTCCGCACTACCTCCTAAGCTCAAGAGATATACATACATAGCAGCCGAGACCTACTCTGGTTCTGCTGCTGTTCACATTAATATCCAGTTCTCGTTTTCCCTGAATCTGGAAATTTTGGGGGGCACGATGCTCTATTGATTCAACCTCAACCAGGGGTGGTAACTGTAAGTAACTTCCATCTCAATGCACACTGCAACTTTACAAGTTTTGTGATTTTACTAATTATGCCCCTGTATTTTTTTGTTTTTATAAGGAAGGGAATAGTTGACAGTCTAAACCCGGGCTAGTTGCAGAGAACAATGCCTGCTTCATCGCCCATTGCCTTTCCGGATTGATATTTCCTATCCTGATGGAACAAGATTATATGTTCAGCATCATAATCAATATCTCATATAGAGTGAACGATATCCAAGTATAAAGAACTCCGATAACTATTTCCTCTGAATTCAAAACAAGATTGTCATTGTAAGCGAATGCAAGATTGTGAACATTAAATTACACAAAGATGCTTTCTAAGTGATTTTAACTATGTTAGGACGCAAGAACATGAGGGTTCATAAACTTATTTTCACCTCACCCCTTCTCCCATATTCTTGCCAATTTGAGTTATGCTTCAACGAGTAAAATCATGTCATTCAATTATCATGATCTTTGACACAGAAAATACCTTAAATTTAGCAATAACCTTAGTATTTCCTGCTTCTCTGGCAATTGATCCTGCCTCCAACTTCTTTACAACTGTTTCAAATTTGCTTAGTTACATGATTGAGTTGAAGGAATATCAGGTAGGGTATGAGTCTCAGAATTACCTCTTTCGGTTTTTCAGCTTTTCCATCACTTCTCATGCGAGCAGCAGGTGAGAAGGCAGCCTTACTTTTCATATCCAGTGCAGGGTTTCTGTATGATCTAACATGAAGTTAATTTCTTGGATAAAAACTACAGATTCCCATGCTGGAGAAAAGAATGGTAGAATCTTTGATAATTGACAATTGACAGCTCCAATATTTGGGGAATTTTGTGCAATTTCATATGCTCATTGCCAACTTTAAACGGAGGCGTCTACCTCAATTGAGGAATTATTTAGGGCAAAATGATGTAACAAGTTTTGCAATTAAGAGAAACTATAAAAGAACTATATCCACCAAATGCACTGTAAACTTAAATGTCTGCATGGCCGTTGGTTAGAGAAGGGACTTCAAAATCTCACCCTTTGCACAAAGGTTTTGAGTGAGTTCCCAATTGACTCCTTTGAGTAGCCTGCTTTTCAGAACCCCTCCTCAATCTACATTTTAGATGGATAATCGGTGAAATATAGAGCCAAAGGACCACAGTAAGATACACATAATAAACATTAAGACATCAAGAACAGCATTTGAAAATGATGGCATTGTACTGCTTTAAAAAAAGATATATATTCACCATCTGAGAAAAGGCGGCTGCTACGTATACGCCCATACATACATATACACACATATTTACACATACATCTTCTTTCTTGACTACTGTTGGAACAGGTCATTATCATTGTTTTTAGACTTATTCTTATAATAATAATTGCATATACAAGTTCAAGGATCCTATCCTTCTAGATTTGAATCTAAACCACTACCGCTCTGACAACTGAGGTTTAGGATTTACCCTGCATTTCCTTGTGTTGGCGTGCTAGAAGCAGAGTTCTTCAGGTCAACTGAGGTGGACATCATCTGTGAAAATATTCTACCCAAATGTCAGAACAAGCTATATGCAACTCATAGCATGTATAGATGAAGAATAAGATAACTTTCAGCAGTATGATACTCACTTGTTTTACCTTAGCATGTTTTCCATCAGAGATAGAATCGTTTCTCTGATTCTGGAAAGTCCTGAAAGCTGGCTTAACAATGTCCTTATCCCTCATTTTCTCCATTATCAAAGACTTCCTTGTGGCAGATATAGCAGACAAAGACTTGGCAGAGCCCAAATTCATAGACATGTGCAGGGATGTTGGAGCTGCTCTTCTGCTTTCTCCAACCTGAGAATTCTTGCTACTCGCAAGTTGCGATCCATGCACCGGCTTTCTGAAGGTTTTAGAGGCAGATGTAGGTGCTGGTTCTGATAATGGCTTTGAATATCTAGGAAAGGAAGTCTCTGATTGTTTGACTGGAATCGGTCCAATTTTCTTCGTTTTCCCAACCAACGTTTTCTCTTTTTTACTTGGTGTTGCCTAAATTTCAGAAAACACTAAGAAAGTAAATGAAGAATTCAAGGGATATAGTTGAATGGAGCCATGTAAGATCAGTTTTACCTTATCAGCGGCATTCCATGCATTTAACTTGGAATTTTGTTTTCTTGAGCTACCTGATTGTTCATTTCCATTTTTCCTTCCTGAAGTGTTTTTCACAGTTTCTTGAGAGCCCTTTTGAAAAGTCTCCGGCCTGATTGGTTGAACATATCTTCTAATGTCTAATTTAGCCCCTTCCACATTACCATTCATGTCATCTTTAGTTTCATCTACTGCAGGGCTTCCACACTTCACAACCACAGCTGCATCTTCTTTTTCCTCCTCTAAACTGATTGCATCAGCAGAAACATTTACAAAGGATCCTCCCTCGACACCCACAGGCAATCTAGCACAATCATCCTCAGCTTCATAAACAATGGTTGAGCCATTTGTCAAAGGGGTCATGTGGGCCTCCTGCGCAATTTCTTCTACCAATCTTTCCTCATTCAGTACACTAAATTCCTGATCAACTTCAGGTAAACTAATGGCATAAGATTCATTTCTTGACATATCTGAGCTCAGAAGAACAGGGCAGCCCATCAACTTTTCCTGCTCCAATTCCTCAGCTTTCTTTTTGTAATGAGCTTCAAAATATGCCTTCTTCTGTGCCACTGACCCTGGTGTTGATAAATTTCCAGCTTCCTCCAAATACTTATTTGGTGAGAATGATGACCACTTCTCCAAAGAAACTCCATTATTCTCAAACTTACCAAAAGAAACAGACACTTCTAGCCTAGCACTAGAATTTACAGGCCCATCCATCTGCTTCAAAAGCTGAAATCTGAACGAACTTACTTCCAGCTCACAATCCCAATAAGTTAATGTTAAAACGGCAGACAATTAGGAACCTGAAAGGAACAAACAATTAGGATTAAAAAAAAAAAACTGTAAGAAACTCCAGCTATTCGTAGAACAAAATTTCAGTGCCTTATTTTTTCAAGGGAATTGCTTAAATTAAACATCATCCATTGATTTTTCTATATCCACAAGGATCATTCATATACTATATGATATCTATCACAAAATTGAGCCCCATAGCCTAATCATCAGTATTTAGAACCAATCAAATTGAAAGAAATATGACCTAATGAAGACAAAATTAGACAAGGGACATGTGCTGCGTGTTCCTACCACAGCAATCATCAAGAGCATTACAGCGTTTTCACAGTTACATACACTGATAATTGTCTGCATCTGGTCCTCAATCATCACATAAAGGCAAACGCACATGAACAGTCAAAGAAAACCAACAAGAGACGCAAATAATAGTGAGATGAGCAAGTTGAGTGCCTTGATCTCCTTTCCGAAGCCGATTCGCCCTTAAAGTGGGGAAAGTAACAAACGAGTACGAACCTTGCGGCTAAACTCGGAGATCCGACCCAAACTTGAATTAATTTACAAAATGTGTGAACTGCACGTTTCGCCAAACCAGCGTAGGTACGCACATACTCAAGCCAATGAAATAGATGAGAATTCGTATTTTGGAGGGAGATAAATAGCAGATGGAGATGAGGTGTTGAAGAGGTGAAAGAAACAAGTGCACGTCGAAGGCTAAGAATTGAAGAGGGTTGGTTTGGTAGATAGAGAGAGCTGCTTCCCCAGATGCCCACTACCCACTTGTGCAGTTGCTGTAGTGCAGTCAGCAGAGCAGCAGTGCAACGGGGGAACTCGAAGAAGAAGCTTACTTACGAAGGGAGATGAGATGAGATGAGATGAGATGAGATGATGAATCATGAATGGCGGCCGCACGTGCTAGACCGTTTGGATCGATAAGAATACTACGATGACAATAATTGATTAATAGTAATGAATTGGCGGAGGTAGAAACGGCCAGGGCACGGGTAATTAATTAATTAATTAAAGAAAACAATTAAATTAATAAAAATAAATAAATAAATGGCTGGCTGCTCGCATGTTTGTCTCAAAAGAGGAGCCTGGTACGTATATGTATTTAAGATAATTCATTCTAAAGGATTAAACAAGAATTACAACTAGTGCTTTGTCACTCTCTTGCTGGTGCCCCTCACTCCTACAGTAATACTAAGGGTAAGTTTTTTTTTAAGATGAATTTCCAACAAATTTGATAGTAAAATAATATATAATGAAAAATATATATTTTTTAAAAATAATATTTTTTAATGTTAAAACCTGACTTGATACCCGACCTAAACCAAAGCAAAAGGTCTATTTCAATGGGCAGAGTTCATTTTGGACTTATCCTAATTAATAAGAAATAGACTTAGAGTTTAGGGTATTTTGGGTGTTTATAAACAGATAGTTATGGTTCTTAGTCGTATAACATGATTGTAACTCTCTGAATAGTATAATAAAATCTCTTCGGTTCCTGTCCGTGGATGTAGGTTGACACACCGTCACCGAACCACGTAAAACATCTGTTTTATTTACTTTCTTTCTCATTTTCTCATAACTATTGGTATCAGAGCCATATCTTATTGATTGAAGATGTCATCATATAAGTTTGATCTGGAGAAGTTTAATGGGTCGAATGACTTCACGCTCTGGAAGGTCAAGATAAAGGCACTTATGGTTCAACAAGGATGTGCGGTTGCGTTGGAGTGAGAAGACAAGTTTCCTAAAGACACGAAGGAGGAGATAAATAAAGAAATTTTGGCAATGGCTCATTCCGCGATCTTGCTGTCAGTTACCGATGAGGTGTTACGGAAGGTTGTAGATCAAACAACGGCTTTTGGGATATGGAATAAACTGTGTGAGAAGTATCAAAGCAACTATCTCACGAACAGGCTATATATCAGAAGCAACGTTTTACACCCTCCGGATGTCCGAAAGTATTCAGATAAATGATCATCTTGATACCTTTAACCGTATCATTCTTGATCTTCAAGGGGTTGAGGTTAAAGCAGATGATGAAGATCAAGCCTTAATTTTACTGTGTTCACTACCTTGTTCATATGAGAATTTTGTAAATACTATGTTATATGGTAGAAATACAATTTCTATTAATGATGTGAAAGATGTCCTTACGTCCAAAGAATTGAAAAGAAAGGTTTCTCTGGAAGAGGGTTCTGATACAGGTCTGCTTGCAAGTAGAGGAAGACTGCAGGAAAGGGGTAACGAGAATGGGAGGTCGCGTTCAAAATCAAAATCCTTTAGCAAAGTTAAGTGTTATCTTTGCAAGGAGAGGGACACGTTAAAAAGAATTGTCCACAGAAGAAGAGAAATACAAAAGTTAATTCTAGTAACAGTGGCAGCAGTGCTGCTGTGGTACAAGAAAGTTCTGATAATGGAGACTTTGGTGAAGTTCTGACAGTGTGTAGCGCTAGTACTGCTGATTCCTGGATTATGGATACCGGTGCTTCTCACCATATGACGTTCTCTCGTGATCTACTTACTTCTTTTAATTAGTGGAATGGAACTATGAAATTAGATGATGATGGTGTTATAGCCATAAAGAGGAGCGGGATAGTGCATATAAAATTGCATGACGGTACTATCAGAAAATTTGACTGTTGGTATATTCCTAAACTCAGAAAGAATTTGATTTCTCTTGGCAAAAAATGGTTTAAAATACCATGGTGAAAGTAAGTGGGTGAAAGTCCCGAAAGGTGCTCTGGTGATGATGAAGGAAAAACTGCAGTATGAAATTTATTTTCTACAGGGCAATTCAGTGATGGGAATGGCAGCGGTATCCCAATCTTTGGATTAACATGATGACTGTACAAATTTTTGACACCGTCGATTAGGTCACATGAGTGAGCAAGGGTTGTCGGTGTTGAGCAAACAGGGTTTATTTGGTGGGAATGTGATAGGTAAAATTCAATTTTGTGAGGCTTGTGTCTGTGTTGAGCAAGCAGGGTTTATTTAGTGGAGATGTGATATGTAAAATTCAATTATGTGAGGCTTGTGTAAAAGGAAAGCAACGCACCGGTCATCACATTTCAAAAGAAATTCTGGAGTATGTTCATTCAAATTTATGAGGTCCCTCTCCGGTGAAATCGCAGGGTGGGTGTTCTTACTTTGTTACTTTCATAGATGATTATTCGAGAAAAGTCTGGTTGTACTTTCTGAAGACTAAAGATGAGGTATTTAGGAAGTTTAAAGAGTAGAAGACCATGGTTGAAAAACAGACGGGTAAACAGGTCAAGACTCTAAGAACTGATAATGGATTGGAGTTCTGCAACGCTCCATTTGATGATTTCTGCAAGAAATAAGGTATAGTGAGACACTGCACTATACGGCACACACCATAAAAAAATGGAGTTGCAAGCGAATGAACCAAACCCTCATGACGCGTGCTAGGTGTATGCGCATATTTGTTGGCTTATCTAAGCAATTCGGGGTTGAAGCAGTTAACAGTGCTAGCTATATGGTTAATAGATTTCCATCAACTGCAATTGACTTAAAGACTCATCAATAGGTATGGTCCGGTAAACCCTCTGATTACTCTAATATAAGAATATTTAGATGCCATGCATTCTATTGATTCCTTTGTGTATCTGTTGTTGTATGTGGATGATATGTTAATTACAGCTAAAAACATGGCTGTAATTAATGACTTGAGGCTCTACTAAAGGGTGAATTTGAGATGAAGGATTTGGGTGCGGCAAAGAAAATACTAGGTGTGGAGATTGTGATAGAGAAGCAGGACGACTATGGGTTTCTCAAGAAAAGTATATTGAGAAAGTTTTGCAGTTATTCTTTGTTGATCAGTCCAAACGGGTAAATACCCCTTTGGCGGCACACTTTAAACTTGATCGAAGCACTATACCGGCTACAAATGAAGAGGTTAGCTACATGAAGACGGTTCCATATTCAAGTGCAGTTGGAAGTCTTATGTATGCGATGGTATGTACGAGACCGGATCTCGCTTATGCGGTTAGTGCGGTGAGTAGGTTTATGGCTAATCCGGATAAAGTTCACAGGGGAGCTGTAAAGTGGATCTTGCGATATTTGTCTAATATATGATGATAAAGGCCATGGTGATGGTCTGGTTGGCTATGCAGGCTCTGATTACGAGGGTGACTAGGTGAAATGAAGATCACTGACTTGCTTTATCTTCACTCTGTTTGAATGTGCAGTCAGTTGGAAGTCTACTTTATAACCTACAGTTGCATTGTCGACAACTAAGGCGGAATACATGTCAATGATTGAAGATATTAAGAAGGATATCTGATTACATGGTCTGGTGCAGAGTTTGAGTCCGAAGATGGAGAAATCGGTGTTATTCTGTGATAGTAAGAGTGCTTTGAGTTTGGCTAAAAATCCGGTGTATCATGAGATAACCAAACATATTAATGTAAGGTTGAATTTTATCCGTGATGTTCTGGAGGAAGACATATTTTCTATTTAGAAAATAGCTACAGAATATAATCCAACTGATATGTTGACAAAGGCGCTACCGACGGAGAAGTTCGAGCACTACTTGAACTTGGTGAATATTCATAGGAGGTAAAGCCCTCTCGGGGCATCTGGCAAGAAGGAGACGACTGAGGGATACTGACGAATCTTTGGCGGTTGGAGAAACTCCAAGTCAATGTGGAGATTGTTAAAACGACTTGGATTTAGCGGTGTATCCGACCCAAAAGCAAAGCGAAATGACTGTTTCAATTGGTTCAATTGGTAGGGTTTCTTTTGGGCTTATTCTAATTAATAACAAATAGACTTATGATTTAAGGTGTTTTTGGGTGCTTATAAATAGATAATTATAGTTACTAGTCGTATGACATAATTATAACTATCTGAATCAGTATAATAAAATCTCTCTGATTTCTGTCCGTCGATGTAAGTTGACACATCGTTACCAAACTACGTAAAATAACTATATTCTTTATTTACTTTCTTTCTCGTTATCTTATAAGATTCGAGAAACAAATACTAGATAGTAAAAATGGCAAAAGAAACGTACCCTCGTAATCAATCAATCAATCGAACAGATCAATGAATTGCCGACGAGATCGACACATTAACTAATTGTTTGTTACAGTGTCAGCGGGCGAGCGAGCGAGCGAGCGAGGTGTTTTAGATTCGTTTTCAACAGAAAAACGGTTTACTGGTAATGAACTAATTGTACAGTCTAAGCCTATATGCCTGTGCCTATCTATGCCTGTTATGTCAATGCCCGCGTGCCTAAGATATTGTAGTATAATCCTGTATCTTTATCTATCCACGATCCATTTCTCTATCGCTCGTGTGGGTGTGGGTGTTGGTGTTGCTGGCAGTTCTTCGTCTTTCTTCCTTCTTCTTCCTGCTCCCTGTCCCTCTCCGCTCCTCTTCCACCTCCTGTACAAGTCGTAGGGCAGCCAGAGATGGTCCAAGGGGCAGGGGCGGCCCTGGTCCAGCCTCACCCAGGGCTTGCCCTTCCCGCTCCAGTGGAGCAGGCTCACCGGGCCCGGGTGCAGAGCCCTGCACGCCCCCGCCACGTTGTCCCCCCCGAGCCCGTGCTGGTTCCACCGGTGATCGATCCCCTCCACCCTCCCCGCGAACACCAGCAGGAACGGGGGCAGCGACCCCAGCTCGTATATCCTCCTCCTCCTCCTCTGCACCCCCATCCACCTCTCGATCTCCTCCCGGAACCGCCCCTCCCTCCACCGCCCCAGCTCCATCACCATCACCCCCGTGTTGAAGTAGCACGGCCGCCGCCCCCCCGCGGCCGCCAGCACCCGCGCCCACCGCGGCTCCGACCAGAAGGCGTCCGTGAAGTACTTGCTGAGATTCGCCCGGCAGTACTCCGGCGCCGCAATGGCCCTTCCGGCGCCGATCCGGGCCTCCCACAGCTTCTTGATGTCGTCGACCACTATGAGGTCGGAGTCCAGGTATATGACCCGCTTGACCGCCGGGTCGAGTATGTCCCCCAGGTAGCCCCGGGCGTAGTTGAGCGGGTTCTCCAGGGCGGATCTGACGGAGGCTGATATCAGGCTGACGATGGCGGCGTCTTCCCGGAAAATGTACACCCTGAAACTCAGCGACGAGTAGATGGACCGGACGAGCCGGCTCAGCACCCGCGGCGGGGCCGGGTCGAACTCGGCGGCTATGAAGTGGAAGAATATGTTCTCCGGGCAGGAGGCGTGGCGGAGGACGGAGTGCACCGCCGCCACTGAGCCGCGGAGGTACTCCGAGTCGAGCGTCATCGCCACGTGGATGATCGAGGCGCCGGCGGCCGGCGGGCATTCGACGCCGTTCCGATACTCCGGCGCCTCGGCGAATCCGAATCGATCGCTGGGGTCGTGGGGAGTAGGAGGGATTCCCAGACAAGTGAACGAGGGCGAGGAAAGGATGAGGAGGAGGAATAATAATACATCGGCGGCGGAGAATATGGAGATGAAGATGGGGGACGGTGACGGCATCTTGAAAAAACACACACACAGAGCACCATACACTACACTACACTACACTACGCTTCAAGATTGCATTAATCCTGTCTGTCTGTCTGAGAGAGTCCCGTGAGATGAGACAGAAGAATCGAGCTAGTTTTTAGTGGGTTTTGGTGTGTTTCATTAATTTGTTGAGTGTTTTGGGGGTTCTGTTGTGCGCACATGAGAGAAGAGGTGAGATGAGATGAGATGAGATGGGATAGGATCTGGGGGTTTATTAGAGAGGGAGTCTTAGGCGCTACCTAACCTTCTCTTACCTAAGTACACGGAGCAGGAGCTGGAGTAGGGGCAGGAGAGGATCGAGAGAACCGCAGGGATCGGATCAGGTACTAAATTTAAATTCAGTCCATTCCATGTTGCTGAATCTCTTATATACTACGTATTATTTACTTTTAATTATAAAAATGAATTATGAAAATGAAGATATTATATATAATTTACATTTCATTCAGCACTGGATTCATATTCTCCGGAACACAAGAGTGAACTAACTGTTACAGTATTTGTGTATGTTGCCCCTTTTATCTATAAATAGCAATCATGTTAATTTAATGAAAGAAGATTAGTTAGTTGTATTTAGAGAATGGCAATGGTATAGGTATAGAATTGGTGGAAATAATGATCCAACCATTAAGGGGGAGGGGGAGCCTCAGCCGATAATTAAGTGTAGGATTGTTGTGTGTGCGGGCGCCATAGCTAAAAGGAAACACAACAATTTGAAAACAAAGAAAAAAAAAAACGCGTCTATTAAATGAACCGTACAAGTAATCTTTTGTGATCCAAACAATTTTTCATCCAAATATAGTCTTTTTAATGACTTTTCGCCTTCACATTGGAAAAGAAAATTATTAGTTATTTGCACCAATTGGGAAAAAAAAAATAAAAATAGTAAAGTTTTAAGAGGAGATAAAAGAAAAGCATGAACGAGGCTGCGCCTATGCCTCTATTTTTTTTTCCTTCTACAAATAAATTATTGCACATTAAACTGCACCACTAAATTATACTACTCCCTCGTTCGTCGTTCAAATATATGTTTATTTTTTTTTTGAGTTGTCATCGAAAAATATTCTTATTTTTTTTAAGTAAAAAATTATTCTATTTTTATACTTTTTTTTCCTATAAAAAGAAAAATTAAAAGTCTTTTATTAAAACTCTTGTCAGATCAAATGAGCATACATTTGAATGACGGAGGGAGTATATATTTTTTATATTCACATATATCAAATAAATTAAATATATAAAAATTATACATGTATAATATAAAAATTATTTGTATTATATTATAATTAAATTTATTAATATATTTTAAATTATTTATTAATCATATATTTCATAAATTATTGTGTATATAATAAGTGTAAAATTGAGAAGAAGAAATTATTTTTTATTGTTCTGAAAAGTTTTTAAAAGTTCACTTCTATTAAAGGATCTTATGTAATATAACAATCAGCGGATCTAATCAAATTTTCATGAGCAAACATATAAAATAAAATTTTATATAATTTTAATACTCCCCTCGTCCCAAAAAGAATTGTCTTGGCACAAGAATTAAGGCGGGTATAAAGTAGAATGTAAAGGACTAAAATATCTTTACCATTTTAAAGAGTACGTTAGAGTCCTAATTTAACTGTATTACCGTTGGAAACAACTTACAAAATTATTCTAAAGATTCAAAACAAGAGCTAATTATAATTAGCTGGTTAGTGTCTCTCGGAGATAAAGCAAATTTCTCTCCCTCTCCCAATTTCTTCTCTTGGCGGACTGACGGACGATTCAGGGTTGAGTCAGTTTCCCTTCCTTCCTTCGCCGCGGCTCTCAATTGGGTCACTTAGGGGAGTCTAAACTGGGTTGGATCACACCTCCTCAAGGCCGCCTGTCTTCACCCGACCCTACGCTCCATGGGACCGCTGATTCTCCGAAATGAAATCTATCGATCGCCTCCCAATCCGACGTCGTCTTCTCCATCCATTTCCGCAAGCGAATTTGATGATTGGCGATATGTTGCATGAACTAATTGAACCCCATTCTTGTTCAGGTTCATTAATGGTTCTTCTTGTTGAAATAGGGGAGACCAGGATCTCTAATTTGATTACCCACGCCGCTGTAAGTTATCCCCAAATTTTCAATTATTTTTGTTCAGTGCATCTTTTCTTGAAGCATTCGGTTCGATTTTGTTGCAAGAGTAATTCGAACGGTTCTTCTTGTTGAAAGAGGAAAGATCCGCATGAACCTAATTCAAGAGGTCGACTTGCCTGGCATTGAGCTTGTTTTGAAAACGAATGTCTCGATTGTTTTGCAATCATATGTCCATCGCAAACTTACGTAGGTTGTATAATGGGATCGCCACAAACCAGTTCATATCGAACCATCCACTCGATTATACGAATATTCACGCGACCCAATCGAGCATGCCACATCTATGCTTTATTATCGAGATTCACCGTTAGACAAACAGGTTGAGTAGTTTGGAGTGCAATCTTATACAATCGATTTCTTGATTGTTCTACCCTCATAATTAGACGATCAACATCATCATGAATCTTTAAAAATTTGTTCATCATCTCAACTTTGTATCCCAATTTATTCATTTGTCCATGACTCAAAACATTACTACGTAAAGCCGAGATAAAATATACCTCCGAGATGAGTTGTTATTCTCCATTCTTGCACTTCAACAAAATTGACCATTTGTTTGCGATTTGAACCTTAGAATCGTCCCCAAGACGAACCTTGACAGTGACTTTTTTGTCCCGACTCTGCAAAGAATCTTCGTGTTTCAATCATATGATTGTTTGCATGCCATTATCAACTTAACAAACATTTTCCTTAGTCTCACCAATCTTTTCAATTATGCTAGGACATACATTCTTCTCATTCAATAGAATAGCAGATTTTTTTTCTCTTCGTAGATTCTAAGTAACAAAATTTGTTCTTGTTTTTGCGTTTCAACCAAATTTGCTTCGTCCCCTTTCTCCTTCCATTACAACTTCGGAGTCGCAGTCTATCTTTATAAGCCTCCAATCTACCGATAGTTATACCGAACATCATGGAGTCAATATCTGAATATTGCTCAATCGAAGCCACCAACCGTAGGTACTTGTCGGGGATTGAATTGAGCAATTTTCTCATAAGAACACCATCCTCAAGTGTCGCCCCAAGGCTGTTGAATTTTGACATCATCCCACTCAATTTTCCGGTGAATTCATCGATAGTTTCCCCATCCTTCATCTGAAGAGCCTCAAACTCACTTTTCAGCGTGTGTAATCGCACCCTCTGCACTCGTTTAGCCCCAAGGTAATGTAACTTCAATGAATCTCACACTTCTCATGCCGTTTTTTTCTTGGCCATTTGTAGTAGAACGTCCTTCGGTAACTCTTGAAAAATGAAAGCTCTTGTTGATTTACTCTTCTTTGCATCGACCTCCATGTTGTCCGGTGGTTCAACGGACTCCCACAACTCTTGTGTGTCCAAAATACTTCTATCCGGATCATCCAAGTGGTATTATTCGAAGACGTTAGTATGAGACACGTGTATGACACACGGTTAAGAGATACTAGCCGAAATTTTTGTTTGAGCTCGACTCGTTTAATAATTTTTTTTTGTTCGTGTTCGGCTCGCCTCGGTCTGTTAAGAGAAATTTTATTTTATTTATTTAAATTAAAAAATAATTAAATTCTGTTAATAATAATTATAATTTTTATCAATAAATTTAAATAAAAAAATAATGAAATATAATATTTATAAAGATATAATTAATTATAAAATTATTAATTTAATTTTTCTAATAAATATTATTGAATATTTACGAATAAATTCTAGCCAAAATATACAGTCGCGTTCAGCTTGTTTAATTTAAGAATAGAGCTTTTAGCAAGCTCCAACAAGCCGAACCAACAAGGTCGCGATCCGCTAATTTTCTGCTAATTTTTTTAGGAGCTCTGCAAAGAGACAAGGGTAGCTACCTTATCTAGGCTAGAATTAGAAATATAAATATTTACTACTGGATAGATGATCCATCATCCAACCCGATCCGACCCATGTAAAATTGATACGAATGGCTGCCTGCCTGAATGCCTGCTGCATTTTATCTTGATACATACATACATACATATAAATATCTCCAACAGAATACAAATACAAATACGAGACAATTCCTTCGGAGATTCTCTCCCTCCCCATCCCCTCCCGCCATGTATGCTTGCTCCCCGCTCTTCTCTATTTCCCATTCTTCATTTTCCCCGGCTGCTGCTGATGGTGCCAACGCTCTCTCGTCTTTCGCCCTAGTCGGCCCTTTCACCCGCTTCCTACATCTGCGCTTATGCTTGTTTAGCTCCACCAAGTATTCTCGCTGCACCGCATCCTACAAGTTTCCGGGTTCGCATTTCCCCACTGAATCCTCTTCTCAGCTCTCTGAAGATGAAAACGAGGTTGAATCCGATGACGAGGATGACGATTATGACGTCGCGGCCGAAGAGTACGGCGCCGCGTCCGATGAAATTGGGGAAGGCAGTGAGTTGGAAGAGGAGGATGAAGAAGAGGACACCGTTTCGGAAGAGAGTGGCGGTGTTGTCGGCAGTGAGTCGGGATATCAAGAGGCAAAGTGGCAGAGGGTGGAGAGGATTAGGAATGAAGTGCGGGAGTTTGGTGAGGAGATTCTTGACGTCGAAGAGCTGGCTTCCATTTACAACTTCAGAATTGATAAATTTCAGGTTCTTCCCTCGATTGATCAAATAGGGAAACGAGTTGGCCTTTGAGCTTTAGTGTTTTTGCTTTGTAAGTTGTGGTTGGGCATAACAACATTCACCTAAAAAGACAGCTTCATCACAGATTGTAGCTAGAACAGTGGTAAATATTTTAGTTTTCAAAAGAAAAAAATGACGGTAATTTCAAGTGTTTTGGTTGCATTGTCTTTGAAGTTGCCTTTACAAAAATATGTATGCTAGCGAAGACTGTAAAATTTTATGTTTGGCTTTTTTGTAGAGAATGGCAATTCAAGCATTCTTAAGGGGTTCTTCAGTAGTAGTTTCTGCACCAACTAGCAGCGGAAAAACCTTAATTGCTGAAGCTGCAGCAGTTGCCACTGTAGCCCGAGGAAAAAAAATATTTTACACTACTCCTCTCAAAGCTTTGTCAAACCAGAAGTTTCGAGACTTCCGGTATGTTATTTTTATTATGTTACTCCTCATGGAAGCTTCCAAGTTATTGAAATATTACTTGGTAATGTTTGGTTTCACAGTGATACATTTGGTGATAATAATGTCGGCCTCCTTACTGGAGATACTGCAATTAACAGAGATGCTCAAATTTTGATAATGACAACAGAGATATTGCGCAACATGATGTATCAAAGGTTATCACACTATTTTGATTCTTCTCAAGTTTCTTCTCTGATTTTTTGTTGATGATCAATTGAGACCCTAATGAAGAATAGATTCTTAATTGTTGGTAATAAGCTTAAGCCCACATCTTATTCTTTGACATTGAAGAGTCATTGTGTTCTCTTCAATGTACCCATAGTTTTCTTCTTCTTCTTCTTCTTCTTTCTCTTTTTTCTTTTACTTATTATTTTTTTTTTATTCTTCAATCATATTATTAGGTACATCTGAGTTGATACATTGCCATTAATATTTCTAAGATATGCTGTCCAGTTCAACAGTTACGCACACTGCACGTTATTTTAATACAATTAATTGATCCTACATCTGTTTTTTCTTAATGGATTAGTTTGTGATTCAGCGTTGGAATGGCTTCTTCTGAAAGCGCACTTTCCCATTTGGATGTGATTGTCTTGGATGAAGTGCATTATTTGAGTGATATATCTCGCGGTACAGTGTGGGAAGAGATTGTGAGTAGTTTTTTGTACGTGCAGAAATTGACAATTTAATATCTGTATCCATTGCTAATCTTTACTTATGTAGGTGATTTATTGCCCCAAAGAGGTGCAACTTATTTGTTTATCAGCTACTGTTGCCAACCCAGATGAATTGGCCGGTTGGATCGGTCAGGTAATTCTATTAATGGTGCTTCAAAAGTTCCTTTAAGAATTCTTGGTTTGATATTTAAATGCTGCAACATCTTGGAATGATGTATGTTTGAATCTTGATTTTGTTTAGAACATCAAATACTAGTATCACTCTTTATCTTATGGTAACTTTTAGTGGTTGGTCCCTTATCAAAGATTGTAAATTTACTTATTAAGTAATTTCCCAACATAACTATTGTCTTTCTTGGTCCATGTACATGGACATGATGGCAGGATTGTATTGTAATAACTAAATCATAGAATTGATCCTGCATGAATTTTCAAACCTGACATTTTTGCCTTGTATTTTCCTTGTTTATCTCCAACAGGTTTCTTAACTATACAATTTACAACTAGCAATATTTCTACTCTCTTTATTGTCTTCTTATCCCTTGCTCATTTTCCTTTTGTATCTGATCCTCTGTTTCTTTTGTGCTGGTTTTCAAGATTCATGGGACAACTGAGCTAGTTACCTCATCTAAGCGTCCAGTTCCATTGACTTGGCACTTTTCAACAAAGACAGCACTGTTACCTCTTCTCAATGAGAAAGGCACTGGCATGAACAGGTGTTTTTTAGCTACTGTGTTACTCTTACCTCTTTCGGTCACAAGTCCAACCCCCACACCACCAGGCCATACCTTACGGGAATATCTCTTTTTTTTTTTATTTTTTTTTTTTTTTATTGTAGGCTTAGCGGTTTTTCATTGTTATATTTCTCCATGAGACCATTTCTATTGATAAGAATAGGATGTTAGAGCAATGTGCATGCCTCTTGTTTCCTGTGGACAGATGTCCCAGCATACACGGATTCCCTCATGTTCAATATTGAGCTTCTTTTGCTGCAGGATATCCATGCTGATCTTGAGAAGTTAATCTCATATGGTTTTGTTTGAGGATGTAGCGGAAACATTTATGGAACTCACTAAATTCGGATTGTTTATGTTTCAATGGAACAGGAGACTGTCTTTCAGCCAGTTACAACTTGATTCATCAGGAGCTAACCCATACAATGATAATTGGTCTAGAAGAAGGAAATCAAGAAAACCTCAGTTTGATGTGCCTGCACTTTCAAAGAATGATATGAATTCTATTCGCCGTTCACAGGTATGGAGAAGTGGTTTTGTAACCTTTCAGTTGATATCTGTATCTCAATCAAAATTATTGTTATTTATGATTTTATTGTTCTAGGTCCCTCAAATTATTGATACATTATGGCAATTTAAAGCACGGGATATGCTTCCGGCAGTTTGGTTCATCTTTAGCAGAAAAGGTTGTGATGCAGCTGTTCAATACCTTGAGCAGTGCAAGCTTTTGGATGAATGTGAGATAACTGAAGTAGAGTTGGCACTAAAGAGGTTTCGTGCTCGGTATCCTGATGCAGTGAGAGAATCGTCTGAAAAAGGTCTTCTTCGAGGGGTGGCTGCCCATCATGCTGGTTGTCTTCCTCTGTGGAAATCATTTATTGAAGATCTTTTTCAAAAGGGACTCTTGAAGGTTGTTTTTGCTACTGAAACTCTTGCTGCTGGAATCAACATGCCTGCAAGAACAGCTGTTATTTCATCCCTGAGCAAAAGGATAGAAAGTGGCCGCACTTTGCTTAGTTCAAATGAACTGTTCCAAATGGCAGGACGTGCTGGTCGTAGAGGAATCGATAAGAAGGGCCATGTTGTTCTTGTTCAGACTCCATATGAAGGAGCTGAAGAGTGCTGCAAAGTCCTTTTTGCTGGGCTTGATCCACTTGTGTCACAATTCACAGCTTCTTATGGGATGGTTCTTAATCTACTTGCTGTATGGCCTCATCCTTCTGTTCTTAACTGTATATTTTATTTTACAAATATCTTATACCATCTTTACAGGGGGCAAAAATTACACGTAGTTCACATGAGTCAAATGACTCGAACATTGCACACACTGGACGAACATTGGAAGAGGCAAGGAAGCTCATTGAACAAAGCTTTGGAAATTATGTAGGGAGCAACGTCATGGTTGCTTCAAAGGAGGAGCTTGCTAGAATAGAAAATGAGATACAGATGCTAACTTCAGAAATTACGGATGATGCTATTGATCGGAAAACCCGGAAACAGTTGTCACAAAAAGCTTACAAGGAGATTTCTGATCTTCAGGAAGAACTAAGGGTATCTCACTGACCAATTTTTTCCGGGGTTAAATATTTCTGTGTGATCTTTACACTTAGATCATAGACTTCTTATTTTATGTGATCTAATGGATTCTATATTATCTTATCCTTTTAGGCAGAAAAACGCATTAGGACGGAACTTCGCAGAAGAATGGAATTTGAGAGGATATTTTCCTTGAAACCAGTACTGGATGGTCTTGGGAATGAACATTTACCTTTTATGTGTCTTCAGCATACTGATTCAGATGGAGTAAGGCATCAAATTCCTGCTGTTTATTTGAGGAAGGTTGATTCTTTGAACACTTCAAAAGTAAAAGATATGGTAAGCACGAATTAATCAAGATTTCCACTCCCCTTTTGGTTAACTTAAAACTAATGATCTCTTTTACTCAATAAAATCACCAAAAGAATGGCAGTGTGACCTATGCTGAAGTTGCAAGCATCCTAGGTTCTTTGACTGCAGGCAATTACATGAAAAATTAGTCTAGCTCATTACGAATATGCTTGGTTCTTCTGGAATTTAATTTACTTAAGTGTTCCTTTCTACTGGTTGGTATTATTTCCTAGAAACTATTTGCGCAGAAGATGAAGTTACAGAATGGCATCTTGGCTCAAAACATATAGTTTAACGTTTTTATGATGATATGTAAGTTTCCTCTTTTAAGTATGCATTGAAGTTTGGTGTTTTTGTATGTTTTTGAGGTACTTCAGTGATTAGGAATCACAATTTCCAAGTTGCTGTAGAACATTGTAGCTGCATGTTTAAATGAAATTTCTTGCTATGTTTTTCTTCTAATTTTCCTGGACCTGGCAGGTACAGGAGTCTGATTCTTTTGCAATAAATAAGGAAAAATTTTCAAGTGATGCCAAATCTGAAGATGACATAGAACCATCTTACCATGTGGCTCTTGGTTCGGACAACTCTTGGTACTTGTTCACAGAAAAGTGGATCAAAGCAGTCTATAAAACTGGATTTCCCAATGTTCCGTTGGCTCTAGGTGATGCTCTGCCACGTGAAATCATGACAAGTTTTCTTGATAAGGAAGAGATGCAGTGGCTAAAGGTTGCTGATTCAGAACTTGGTGCTCTTTGGTCGATGGAAGGATCCCTTGAGACGTGGTCTTGGAGTTTAAATGTACCAGTCTTGAGTAGTCTTTCTGAAGATGATGAGGTAATCCAATTAGCCAATTAATTTCCTGCTTGGGGTAAAGTGCAATTTCTTTCTGGTCTACATTGTGACACATTTGACACTTGTGCTGTATATCCAATTGCTAAATTGATAATAATTTTTCTGCTATGTTATTAGATTTTGGAGTTCTCTGAAGCATACTTAGATGCTGTAGAATGCTACCGGGAGCAGCGAAACAAAGTTTCACGGCTGAAGAAAAAGATAGCACGCACTGAAGGCTTCAGAGAATATAAGAAGATCTTAGATGTTGCTAAGTTTACTGCAGAGAAGATACGGAGATTGAAGACTAGATCACAACGTTTGATCACTCGTTTGGAGCAGATTGAACCATCTGGCTGGAAGGAATTTCTGCAGGTACGATGGATGCATAAACATAATCACACCCCTCAGCAACACTGTTTAGTAGAAATAGAGACCATAAAAGATTCTTACTCGGCTGTTAATTTAGCTAGTGTGGATATACTGCATTAAAGTTTTAGTATCTTTATATATATATATATATTATTCTTTACTATATTGTTTTGGATAAAGGGCTTCAAGCCCCAAGTATAAAGTATTTCTGGCATGGCAATATGCATTGAATATTAAATTAAGTGATCATGCAATAAACCCATACATTGGGTTTCTGGGAATTAATGTTGTTACATACAATATTACAGTGTCTAGTCTCGATGAAAATATAGAATGACGTAGCTTTCTGTGCCTAGTATTCTCTATAATTATCTTTACTTGTTAGTTGTTACACTCATCGAAAGTTTAACTGCCGCTACTGTGTGCTTGGAAAGACAGACTGTTCAAGAAGGCCGTTCTGGCAGCAGTGCTAGTTGTGATGATATGCAGTTATAAGTTTTAGCATGTTTCTAATCTTGTTACTGGCAACTTCACTGTTTTTTGTTCAGATCAGCAACGTCATACATGAGGTCAGGGCCTTGGATATCAACTCGTATGTTATATTCCCCCTTGGTGAAACTGCTGCTGCAATTCGAGGAGAGAATGAACTCTGGCTAGCCATGGTACTTAGAAATAAAATCCTACTGGATCTGAAACCTGCGCAGCTTGCTGCCGTTTGTGGAAGTCTTGTTTCCGAAGGAATTAAAGTCAGATCATGGAAAAACAATGGGTGTGCATCTCTTTGATACATACAAAAAATGCATTAATGGTTCATTAGAACATACACGTAATATTCATGTTACGCATGTATGTATGTGTGTGTGTGTGTGTGTGAAGGGTACTAAAGTGCGGCTTGTTCTGTTTCAGCTACATGTATGAAGCCTCGAGCACTGTTATGGATGTGATGGCATTGTTGGAGGAACAGAGGAACTCACTTATACAAGTGCAGGAAAAGCACGGGGTGAAGGTAAGCAGCTAGGCAGCATTGTTATTGGAAAATACACGTATGGGTTGGTAGTTGGAATAAAACTAACTGCCGAGGGATGGATGGATAGGTACAGTGCTGGTTGGACAGCCAATTCAGTGGCATGGTGGAAGCGTGGGCCTCCGGACTAACTTGGAGGGAGCTTATGATGGACTGTGCCATGGATGAAGGAGATCTAGCCCGCCTCTTTCGTCGAACCATTGATCTATTAGCACAGGTAAGGAGCAGCAGTAGGAGGAGGAGGGGTATCTAGAAGTTTATTTATTATTATTATACTCGGGATTTATTATTAGCAAACATATATATATATATATATGTGTGCATCTTCAACAACATCATCATCATCATATTCATCCGTAGATGTTGGTGTTATTTGTATAATAACGATAATAATAAATAGGTGCCGAAGCTGCCTGATATTGACCCAATTCTGCAAAGCAATGCGGTGAAAGCATCCAGTGTCATGGACCGTACACCCATTAGTGAACTGATTGGATGAGCCAGCCTGCCAATCTAGAGAGAGAGAGAGAGACATTGCAGGCTTATATAAGCTCCAATCTGATCCGAGTCCTTATAGACTTGGTGAGAGCAGCTTCTGCGTTGCATTGCATTACATTAGCTTCTATCCTCAGTATGGGACCATCTTAGACATATCTGAGTCACCCAACGACAAGACTTTCTTTTGTTTCTGCAAGCAAATATTCAAGCCACCAGAATTTGAGGTAGCCTTTGAATCAATTTTATTTCTTTATTTGGGATGAAATTAATTTTATTTATTTTTATATCTGTTCATGTTTTTTTATTTATTTTTAAATTTTTTTATAAATATATTATTGATAATATTTTATAAAATTTATAAAAATAAATACAATAATAAAAAATAACACTGTTGTTAATATAAATATATACTCCCTCAGTCCCGGTGCAAGGTTGTCGTTTATTTTTCCACTTAGATTTTTTAATATCAGTATTATAATAGGTTATAGCGAAAAAGATGAAAATGCCCCTGTTACTATTGTTGGTTACGGACAAAAATGAATATATAAATAAGTAAATACAGATGTTATAATCATTATGAAAAAATATTATATATATAAAAATGTATTTAAATATAAAATATATATTTTACAAATTATTATAGTATTTTTTATTTTAGTATTATATTTTAATAAAATATAGTATATCAAATTTTGTATATAATAAAATAAAATATAAATAAATTTTTTTTATAATTAATTTAAAAATAATTTTATAAAATATTTTTTCCTCAGTTCAATTTCTATTGTCAAGTATATTTGTACGGTTTAGATGATTGTTTTTTTTTGTTATGAACAGAAAAATTTATCTGGTAGAGGTAACAAATGAAATAAAATGTAAAAATATAAAATTTGTGTTTAAAAAAAAATAACACAGTAATTGTTGGACGTTCCAAATAAAAAATTAAGATTGGTTTGTGGACAGAGAAAATATAATTTTAAATATAAATAAAAATATTTATTTTTTAAAAAATAAAAAATAAAATAATATTAAGTGAGTCAAATATTAAAAATTTAATTAAATTAATTTATATTTATTAAATAAGATAAAAAAAAAAAAAAAAAGTTACTTTGTAGCTGCACCGAATATGATATAAAGAGAAGCCTGTCGTTGCGACGTACAAAATACAAATTTATATATAGAAGGTGTGGTGTGTTTACTGTCATCTCCATTTTCGATATTGCTCCATAGCATACTGCAGCAGATCGTCCGGTACGGACGAAGTGGAATGGAGTGGAGTATGGATTTGGCTCCGGCGCTCGCGTCCATGGATGGAAAATGTTCGAGGAGCTCTGCCGCCGGGGAAGGGACCGGTTCCGAGACAACCGGCGCCAACGGAGACGACGGCGGTATAAGAATAGGAGGATTCATGCTGTTTGGTGTGAGAGTCATGATTGAAGGATCGTTCAGGAAGAGTGCTGGTATGAACAATCTAGTTCAGTTCGACCAGCCTCAGCCTCAGGACTCCAACAATGACGTTGCTGCGGGATATGCCTCCGACGACGTCGTTCATCCCTCAGGGAGGAGCCGTGAGCGGAAAAGAGGTACTGGCTAGCTAGCTAGGGCTTACCTACGTTTTCCCTGAAATCATCTATCGATTGAACTCGTCGGATGATTAATCGTGTACGGCAATGGAAAATTGGACTGAGGAATCATTGTGTCTGTGGAGGAGATGATTTGGTTTATTTTATATTTCTCTGCATCTAGGTCTAGCTCTGTAAACTTTGAGTTTTGATTACAACCAGGAGTGAAGAGGAGCACAGGCTGTTCTTGTTAGGGCTACAGAGAGCTGGGGAGGGGGATCTCAAGGAATTATGTGAGAACGAGGACACCTAGTCAAGTGGCAAGCCATGCTCAGAAATACTTCCTCCGCCGGAGATCCAGTCTCTTTGACATCACAACTGATGCGGTGGTCGGTATTCACTTTCACATTACAGATTTACAGCTCTTTATTTTTTATTCTAGTGTTCATGTTTCTTTGCTCCATGTCAGTTCATTCATTTCACTCTAATATAACTAACTACCTGTTTTGCTTTCAATAATATAGATAGCCTTACATGTTTTGCCTAGATTGTAGTATATACATATTGTATCTAATTTATTACATTAGGGCATTGATCAAGTAAGTAAGGAATTGAAGTTGTCTTTTCTTATACTGCACTGGATTTAAATGCCTTCACTGTAGCCATTTTTGAATAACCCTCAACTTCAACTTCAAACACAGCTTGTGGGCTCTTCCTCAACTTCAATTGAGGAGGAGAAGGAGGATCAAATGCCTCAGGAGAACACACCTCAGCCTCAGCCACCACCGCAGAGCCTCCTCCCGAACAATCCTGACAAGCTTCCCCTGTCGTCGTCTTTTCCTGTGGCCATAACTCCACTGGCTGTGGCTGTGGCTGTGGCTGTGGCTGTCCCAATCCCTACAGACAACCACAGCCCCCCCATGGAAATGGAAAACCACCCCTCAATTGGACAAGTCAATCAGCTCACCAATTCACCCGAGCCCATAACTCCAATCCCAATTCTACCCTCTTCTTCTTCCAAAATGACCAATTTGAAGCTCAACAGAGCCACAACCATCGAGCCTCCATCCTTGTCTCTCAACCTGTCTACATCATCCTCACCTCCATCGAACCAGGAACAGTCACCTTCCACACGGCAGGCATTGGCCTTCCAATCCAATAGCTTTAATGGGGGGGGTGGGGACGCCAATGGCAATAGCAATAGCAATAGCATCATCAGCGTGGCATGATGGGAACTTGTTGATAGTGATGTCTGTGTTGTAAAGTGCCCGGGGAAGGCAAGGGGAATCTCTTTCTTTATCTTCTTCAAGAACTACGATAAAATCGTATATTCTATTGCTCCAGCAAGTTGGATTAAACTTGTGAGGATGAGATTTAGTATGTGTATATTATATTGTTTGGGTGATTATTATTATTATTTTGTAATGATTACCTATTGTATAAATTTGGTGGGTATATCTATGATGATTGTAAAGGTTGTCGTTTTCACTCAGCAGGTCCGGTCCGGTCCATCTGAATGTCTTTTATTTACATTACAGCAGTGGTATGCTGCATTCATACTAAGAAAATAGCCGACATGACAAATGCAACTTATATTAAGTTACCACCCTAATTATTTGTCCAAATTGAAAGCAATTACTACTCCACAGATTTGTATAGCTTATTACATCTTCTAAGCATTATGTTAGCTTTCTGACTGTGAAAAACGATTAACATAGATTATTACATAATCAGTTTATGCGCTCGACCAAAGAATACATTATATACTACTATTTAAAAATAAAAATAAAAATCCCACAAGCAATTCTTTAAGTTCCATTGGAATCGAGAGGACTTTTTTCATGAAATTTTTGCTACTTATACACCCACCACTCATATGAAATCTATACAGAGGTATCTTTGCGGTAAGAAAGACTTTCAATCCCCTAATATCCTAAAAATAAAAAGATAGTATGTGAAGATTCAATGCTATGAAAAGATTTCAGCACAAGGGGAAGAAATCAAATGCCGCTGTAAAATTTCCTTCCTATTTGTTAAATTACACAGCATAAAAATATACCATGCCCATTAATTTCTTCACTAGACTAAAAATAATAATAATAATAATAAACAAAGTAAATAAGAAGACATATACAAAGCCAAAAATACTCCATTCCTGTAGGAATCCCCGGTCCAATGTTTGGAGCACATAACTAAGGTCAGGGGCAGAGCAACTCAGAAAAAGAAGAAAAATCAATGGGGCAGACAATATAATCCAGAGAAGAGCAGTGCTCTGCGGTCAAGATTCACATCTATAGAAACATAACTGCAACCACCATGCACTATCGACAACAGCATTCACAAAAAATAATCAGGTGTCTTACGCGTTGTGTCCGGCTCAATCTGTCGAGGAGCTGGGTCGAACTGAAGAAAATTCTGGTCCATGTTTTCCCCAATTTCAAGTATTGCAGCCATGTTCCCGCAGCGATAGCAGTAGTTGGGAGCACTGAAGACTGTCACCACATTTTTGTCCTGCAAATTTGAAATAAACAAGTTAAGCAGTGATACAATCCAAGTGTGTTGTGTGGGTGGGTGATTTCAGACCCAAGACAAACCTGACACCAGTTGTATCCCTCCATGACAAGCTGATGTGCGCGTGAAATTAGGGTGAGGCCATTGGTGTGGTTGAACTGAGCAGCTATGTCTTGTCCAAAGGTGTAGCCAGCTCCGCGCGGTGATATTCCCCAACCACAACGATCATCGGGATCGGACCACAAGAGATCGCACATGGGTCCTTCATGTGGGACCTACCAGTTCATAAACAACATGGTATTCTAAATCAACAATTTTCTTTCTAAGAAAATCAATGTGTCAAAAGCATGCTATACAATTAGAAGCCTAGGCAGTGATTGGTTAGAGTTTTATTAAGTTCTTTACTAGTTAGAAACACTGTTATGCTTAGCTGCAGAGTTCTTATAAAATGATTAATATGTTCACTAGTTAGAGACACTATCATGTTTACTACCAATGACTAATATGTTTACACATCCAGGGAAGCTATACTACCATGCGCTAAAATATTTTTAAATCAATTTTTGCTTATTGTAACCTCTACTCAAATCTCAATTCAAATACATGTACTCGCACATCATACTAGTCTTTCAACATCTATGCATATATATATATATATAAACCTGGGAAACTAATAATAATCAGGTACCTATTATCTCATCCAGTATTATTTAATACTATAGATGAGAGAAATACAAATTTGATTCCATAATATATACCAATTACAAAATTTCAGCATCCATAATTTTGAAGTCTATCAAAGCAACACATTAATTGGCATATTTAAGATTGCAAAGAACCCACCAATTTTAAATAAGAAAAATTCTGATTAAATAGCAAATACAGTTGTCTATTACCGCAAAAAGAGCCTGCACCTGGGTACAGATGCTATACAGGGTGAGGCTCTCAGCCACAATGTTGATGAGTTAATATAATCGACTAGGCATTTACTGTTGCTATATTGTCAAGTATCAAGGTCATGATAGTCAAGAAGAAAAGAACACAGTACACAGCATATAGTAAACAAAAAAATGAGGCTTATAAAAGCATACTATCCTCGCAAACAGTATATACCTCTTGTACACGATCTAAAGCTCGAATATTGTCTAAGGTATCAAGCGATGGTGAAAGGCCTCCATGCAAACAAAAGACCTACAAGAATGCAATGTCAAACACCTAAATACCTAGAGGTGCTATATTAAAACTTTAAAGGTAAGAGGCACGAACAATCATTACTTACCTGACTCTCAATAAGGGCTGTCAAAGGTAAATAATCAAAGAGATCAGTAAAATACTTCCACACATTGGCATTCCCATACTTCCTCAAGCATTCATCATAGAATCCATACCTGGCATGAAAAAATATGTAAATAATCCAGAAAGTAAACAAACTCAAAACAGTATAGTATTTTCAAATGGAAGTCCAGATAATGAATTATAAACAATACACTCTAATCTCATTAGTGATCATATTCACTAGATGATCTGAGTGAAAGGCCACTTACTTCATGATATGAAAGACATTTTATATCAATTAGAAAGCTATTGGTGTCTAGTTTAACTAAAAGCAAAACTAAATTTTACTATAGTATTACCGGGGTGAGTCTAATTGAAGGGAGGCACTCAGAAACATCAAAGATGAGAAACTCTAGGTATGCTTATTCTCGTGATAATTCAATTGTTCAATTACTTACTTTTCGGTTTTGTTTTTTCTCAAAATTATCAAGGTATTTTTGAGAAATTACTACTATTAATTTATCATTTATCCGTCAGTATTTCTTATTCTCTAAATATATTAGCTACTAGCCACATAACTAAATATATCGACATGTGAATGTATCTGAAAAGACTTGATCATGCAACTTAATTTGAGGACCATTATGTCATGCCAAAGCTCACTGGCACCATTGTGCATTCAAACTTTAATAAGCATGTCGTACAAATATTAGCAGAGTACTCACACTTGAGTAATTTGTCGACTTTCGTGATTGCCCCTAAGTATTGTGATTCTATCCCGATAACGAACTTTTAGAGCCACTAAAAGTGTGACAGTCTCCACCGAGTAGTACCCACGATCTGCATTAAATGCATACTTTATAAGATGGATATTGTACATTTCCATAGAGCGACAAGTGTTAATGCGGTAAACTCAATGTTAATAGAAGGGAAGGGACTAACAAACAAAAAGAAATACAAAACTCTACCAACAAATAGAAGGAAAATTAAGAAAGATGATATCTAAGTGGCGTGATGCTGACGCAATTGTTCCTGATATAAGATAATTAATGTTTCTTTTTTTTGTCTTTTGTAAGAAGAATATTGGAATGTTGCGTAAAAAAACGGTGAGTTACAAGCGTTGGCTCCTTAGGCTTGTTACCAAATTAAGTCTAAGAAGTGTCCATTAATGATATATAACCTCATGCCAACGGAAAAACCTGTCGAATAAAGACACTAGCTAAATAAGGAAATGTAATAAATAGAGAGGCACGGCTGTAACAGAATTTTTAAATTGCGTAAATGATCTGTGGTACCCGTTATTTTTAATTGTATATGTCAAAAAGCACCAGCAGTATGATGACGTGTGGAACTATAAACTAATAACCATTGTTTTGTCTAACAACAACATGGTGACAACAAACCTATTCTGCAGTTGTCAATAAAATCAAAGGAAAGAGCAGCTGACAGTGGTCAAATTGGTTTGAATAATGACTATATTATATATGAAGTCTCATAGTAACGTAAAATTGGAGTACATAGAGAAAATGCAATCTCAAACTTAACAAGATATAAGCATCTCAATTGCATTCTAATCACCTATCATTTGTCTCGTACGAACAACAAAGAATTTTGACGCTCAACATCATCCAGAAAAGAATACAACATAATTGGCTTGAACCCAAATCACCACCAACCATTGTCAATTTCCAAGCTGCCTGTGAACTTCCAGCATTGCATGGAACACAATAACTAATCTCCTATTGCTAGTTTGAAGATAAATGCAATAAAAGCTAAGAAAATAGCTTGCTTTGCATTTTTGGATGAATCAAAACAACAATTTGCTGGAGGATGCAACTTCCACTGGCAATGTTTTCTCTAAGTCTCCTTGTAAATTAAACAAAAATTTTCAAACTGAAAGTTAGGCACAAATGGCGTATCAATCAAGACACCTTAAAATGCTATGTATACCTAACACTCAAAACGTTGATTTAGCTTAATAACCAGCTCTATATTGACCTCGTTCAACAGCACATCCTCCATTCAATATAGAAACCCTATATCATACCCTATCAGGCAAACACATATCAGGAAACATGTTTTCTCGCGAAATCACCAAACAAACCACCCCGAGAAAAGGTAAAAAACTCACCGACGTAGTCACCCATGAAGAGGTAATTAGTATCCGGAGCGTTGCCACCAATCCGAAACAGCTCGATCAGATCGTAGAACTGGCCATGGATATCACCGCATACAGTAACCGGACATTTCACCGGCTGCACGTTCCACTCCTCCACCAAAATCGCCCGCGCTTGATCGCACAAAACCTTGACCTCCGCCTCCGACAGCGGCTTGCACTCCATCAATTGCTCTATTTGCCGATCCAAATCCCCATCACCCGGCATTTTTTCTTCCAACAAACAACTCCCTAGCTCTCCGAATCCTCGCCGGCACCTCAATCCAGATACTCAAATTCCGAAAACAACGAAAAGGGCACCGATACCGATCGGCCGGTGGACCACCTGAGATCTGGATTTAGAAATTTCACAACAAAGAGAGAGGAGGAGGATTTTGAAAAACAAAAAAAAAAAAAAAAAATTGTAAATACTTTTACTATTTTCTATTTCTGAGATTGTTTTCCCATTTTTTGAGACTCCCCTCTTGTAAATCCAGAAATGACAGCAAAATACTTTTTAAGCAAATATGAAAAAAGATAATTTAATTCTCGTTATTCCTTTTTTTCTTTTTTCTTTTTTCTTTTTTTCCAGAAGATGTAAAAATAAGGAAGAGTTGGTAGATCTGTGACTGCCAGAAGAACATGTGTATGCGTATCGTATATATACACTACTACATATTCGGTTTATTGCTGAAACGCCAAATGAAACTCAAATGACTTTCAAATGCAAATGCAAATGCAAATGCAAATTGCTGACCAGCTTCTTCACATAATAATTTTTGTAATAATGATAAAAGTAAGCTATATTTGATAAATTAATGTTTAATATATACAAATTATACTTTAATTACTAGAATTTGATTACAGATGTTTGGTAAATTATATATTTAAATAATTTTAAAAATGTAAAAATTATACTATATAATAATAAAATAAATAAAATTAACAAAATATACACAGCTTACTTTTTTTTCTGTTAGAGTTTGTGATTTTACTAAAATTTTAAATAATTTACTCGCACATTTTTAGTTTTTACCTTAAAATAATAATTTTGATTTGAAATATGATATATGTATTAATTGGTTAATAATAATAAATTATAATAGTATTATTCTTCTATTTAAATTGTATTATTAATAATTTTAAAATAAATTATAATACATGCTTATAATTTTTAAAAATAGAATATATATTTAAATATTTTAAAATTTATATTTTAATAAAATATATGCAATATGATATATTTGATAGAGAATAAAATTTTATATAATATAAATAAATAAAAATATATTTGTATATTTGTTTATAATTAATATAAACTATTTTTTTATAAAAGATGAAAATTTTTAAATATAAATAAAAAACATAGAAATAAAAGAGTTTTGAATAATAAGAATGATATTATATATTATAAAATTAATTTATATTTATTAAATATATTTTAAATTAATAAAGTTTACTATAAATATATAAAATAGAAAATACATCATTTGTTAAGGGGCATAAAAGTATTACCATAATTTTGTTTATATAATACACAAAAATGATAAAAACTATAAATAAATACTTAAAATAAAACACACACCACAAACAAACCGTTTTCTCTTTGAAGTAGCTGAGGTGTTGTATACTTACGTTTTTTTATACTCGTATTGAAACATTCCATTTATCATTTATTTTTAAATATTATATACTCCACTATTTATGTTTAAACTTTATTTAAATTTTAAAAAAGAAAATCAGAACCGAATAAATTAAATAGTTGCTATATAATAGTAATTTACATAATGAGCCCATTAAAATTACAGTCCAATAAGAACTCTGAAATTGGACCGACCCAATTCAAAAAGCGGCCCAAGTTATGTGCGATGAGCCACTTCATTTCATACTTGGAAGCAGCATCTAATCCGACGGCTCTGATGTTTGTAACGATGAAGATGGACGGTCCAAATGTTCCAACGTCAATATTTAAAGTAAGGTCGCCGAAGCTTAACTAACTAATATGCAACCCTCTCCGTTCTCTAGAATGTTCTCTCTTTTGTCTCCAGAATCTCCCGTAGTAATCGGAAAGGAAAATGGTGCGATGCAGTATGGTGCGGTGGTGACATTAGAAAGAGCAGCCGAGATGTTGGTTTGCATTTAATTTGGGGAATTGGTTGTGGTTGATTTTGTATGTGTGCTTGTTTTGGTACATCTTTTGTAATTGTGAGTGCAGCAGTAGCAGGAGGTGGATTGAAGCGAGATTGAGACGGTTTCTGTCCCTGCTTCTGTTGTTGTGTTTTTTCTGTACGAGTATTGACTATCAATCAAAAAAAAAAAAGAAGGTAATTTAATACTGCATTTACAGCTAGCTTACTACTACAACTAAATTATTTGTTTTGTAATTTAATACTTACACTGCGAACAAAGTAAGTGTGTGTGTTGTTTGTTTGGATTGATTAGTCGAGAAGGATATCTGTGCAGATAAATTAGATGCTGCAACATTGCATTGGTCGACCAGATAGAAGATCTCTTTCATTTCATCTAGTGCAAGGTTTGTTTTATTTAATTATTTAATTTTTTTTTTTTAAAAAATGTTTCATATACCATTTTATATCAATCTTTTTTTTCTTCAAATATCATATTAATAACAGTTCTATTTAGAAATACCAAAACCCAAAACAACACGGGAAAAAATACCAAAAAGTAAAAGTTATCAAAACTCAAAGGATGTGTTAACGTTTTTGTGTTTTGTATATTTTAGATTTTTATTTTTTATTTTTTCAGTGAAAGAGTTAATTGCTGGATGTGAAGTTCTATACAATAAGAACATAAAATGTGTATTAGACATGATTGCATCTGTTATATAATGTATGTTTTGTATTGTGCATGATATTAATTCATATCCATGTTGACGTGCTTTTCACTGTCTCAAAGATTTTCCACTCAATTAATATGCATGCAATGGAGAGACAATATCCATTTAAAGTAAAGTAAAATAATACTATATACTACTACTATTAAATAAAAAAATAAAAAATATGGAAGGAAACCTATAAGAAACTAACCTAAATTAAGCTCTAAAATATGGAAAGAATATATTTTGTCAGATTGCAGGATTTAAATCCTTAATTAATTCTAAACTAACTTAATTTAATTACAATTTATACGTACCTTCCTTTTTAAGTATCTCTCAATGCATATTTATATACACAATCAATCACACACATACACACCCATTCCATTGCATATAAAATTCGATCCAAAACTGTGAACATGGTGCTGTTGAACCAGAGCGGCGGCAGTAGCGGCGGAGGGGCAGCGAGGAAGACGACGCAGGGAAGAAAAAAGATAGAAATCAAGAAGATCGAAAATCTGAGCAACCGTCAGGTAACGTTTTCGAAGCGGCGGGCGGGTTTGTTCAAGAAGGCGAGCGAGCTCTGCATTCTGAGCGGCGCGGAGATCGCAATTATAATCCACTCGCTGGGGAAGCGGATCTTCTCGTTCGGGCATCCGACGACGGACTCGGTGGTGGATCGGTTCCTGACGGGGGCGGAGGAGGCTGCCGGCCGGGCGGCGGAGAGTAGTTGTAGTATGCCGGCGGTGAGGGCGGCGGAGTACAACCGCCATTACGCGGACGTGTGCAAGGAGTTGGAGGCGGAGAAGAAGCGGAGGGAGATGATAGAGGCGGCGAAGCAGGCCGGGATGTACGGCGGCGGCGGCGGAGGGGAGGAGTGGTGGAGCGAGCCGGTGGAGGGGCTGGATCTGGAGGAGCTGGAGCAGTACGAGGCGGCGCTGAAGGAGCTGGTGAAGAACGTCACGATGAAGGCGGACGATCTGATGCTCATACAGAATTCCTCCGGGGGGAATATTCCGATGGGGATGGAAGTCATGATGGCCGGCGGCGGCGGCGAATCGTCGTCGCTGGCGAACCCCAATAATAATAATAATATTATTAATAACCATAATGATGAGTTTAGTTCGGCGGCAGGATTTGAGTATGGGAATGGGAGTGGCAGCGGCAGCTGCTGCATGGCATTAATGGCTGCTCCTGCTCATCATCCAAACTGTTATCCACCTCATCCTCAACCTCAACATCCTCATCCTGATCATAATCTTCCTCTTCTTTACGGAGGAGGATTCGATCATCATCATCATCAGGCAGGGTGCAGTAGCCATAGCCATGCCCATGCCGATACTTGAATCAATGGGTGAGTGCATTCCTGCCTCGTCGTTTTGCTTTATTTAATTTCTCTTCTATTCGATTCTATTATATTCTGTGCCATTATTTATCATTACTAATTAAACAGGTCTTAATCATGTTTTCTTTTAATTTTCCCTTTCATTTTATTATTATTAATTAATTGACGATGATTTGTTGATTAGTTTGATATATTTTTTTTTTATGACATGGGAATCCGCAGTCGACGTACCTTCTTTTTTTTTTTTTTATTAATGACGTGGGAACTCGCATCCGACATAATTTCTCCTTTCTTCTATGTGAAATAATCCTCCATGTTTAGTTACTCCTTGTTTTTCATGAATTAATCAATTATCATACAGAAGCTTAATTCGTTAGTGTAGAGTAATGAACCTATTTGTTCCTATCCCACTAAAAAAACCTTAATTTGTCACAAAATGGTGCTACATAATACAACTTATTGCAAAATTACAACAAAATTTCCTAAGCAAATAGGAGATGACCAAATAGTGTTTGTTAAATGTTTTTTGTATTTGAAAATTCTATATAATTTTAATAATTTTAATTAAACATATTAACTGCATTATTAGAGGGGGTTTGATAAAAAACTTTTTTTTTAAAGGGTTTTAACTTATTGAATAGTTTGTTAGCTATTTAACGGGTAAAAAACTAATATCTTATAATTATTTTATCAAATACTTTAATACAAAAAGTTAATTGAATCTGTTAGTCAAATCAAATTTAGTAAATCAATCAATTAAATCAACCAATTCATTGAATCGGCTATCAATAATTGTCAAACACACTTAAGTTGAATTAATTTTGGAGAATTGAATTAATATTTGTTATAATATATATAGTGGGTAAGGTCCACGCTTATATTTATTTTTAAAAAGCAAAAGAAAAAAAAAACAGAAAAAAAAAGAGAAAAGATTTCATTCATATCAAATTATATGTTTATGATTCTAATAATAATAATATAAATTTTGTTTCAACAAATTTGAGAAGATATTTAAGTTCTAGAAATTAAATAGCAGAAATAAACAAAATATTTTCTCAAAATGAATTTTAATGAGTAAAAAAAAATAATTAAATGATAAATATGGACAAGGGTAGAGCATGCCCGACTAAACTAGAATTTAGCATTAACGATGATGGTTTGAACTTAAATTCATGACTCTATGGTCAAATTTATATCACACCACCAAATTATCTCTAGAAATATAATTGTCATTTTTTTTCAAATTTTACTATTTTTTCTTCCAAAAATATTAAATTTATATCACATCCTAACGCTAGAAATATTTTATTTTGTTTCAAATTTGTAATTATTGATAATTTTGTTTTTTGATAAGGGGAAAAGACCTATAAGTCATTCCATTTTGCGTTTTTAGAGTTAGATGAAGGGTTGAGATTCAGTCACTGCCGAATCATATTCTCTTCTTCCTTTTATTTATTTATTTATTATGTATGTATACTTACTATTGGTTTATCTTTGCGAATAATCATCATGACATGTTGTAAATTGTTATACAAGATGATGATGATGATGATTCTGTCAATCTCTATTATAAATGAATTTGTAAAACTTACTAAATTGATTGATAGTCGTCTCAATTTTCTTGATCATATTTGTTTAAATAAATTATATATATATTTCCAACCAATAATAACAGTAATAGAAAAGCTCGCTAATATCTAAACAAAACATTACAAACGATCTTGTGCGTGAAGTTCGATAGAAACGGGGGACAGCTAATAATTAATACAGGCATCCAAATGATTTCTTTCTAGTAACGTGTCATGTATGTATTGTCTGAGTATGTCGTCCGTTTTCCTTTACGTTAATATTAATTAAATACACTAATTCTTACCTATATATATTCTTCAAATTTTTAAACTAAACTAATACTATTTATTATATAAATGACTATTATTATTGCATTTGCATGCTGATCAAACGAAAGAATCTTCGACAGGGGGATCAACAGCAAGACTCAAGCGTGCTCCCCATCACCTCCCTGTAAATACAGCAACAATTTTTATTTTTTTAAAAAAATTATTTCTCTGTACTATTTACCAGTAGTATTTTTAACACTGCATGGGCAATTTAATTAATAAAGTAGCTAAGAATATTTGGGGGGATCGTTTCGTTGGAATTAAGAATGATAGTGGGAAGAAAAGGACATCGTGTCGTGCCATATGGTTTGACGACATGACGCCGACGTTTTCATCTTTTCAATTCAAACTGCCTCCGTCTCTCTCTTTGATCCATCCATCCATCCATCCATACATACAACTTGCTCGATTCTTCCTTCCCCTCCCCTTCCCTCTCCGCCATTGCTGGTTGCCTTGCCTTGCCACTCCCAGATTTCAAATTCAATCGATTTTGCAGACGGGACGGGGCTGGAATCTGTGGCACTCTCTCTGTATATGCTATCCTATGCTAAGCTTAATTTACGCCAGCGTTAACAGTTAGTTCATCCCCATCTAAGATGAACTGACCTCGTTCGTTCTTCTTGGGGGTTTCGGATCTGCAATCGGGAATTCTTCGGTGCTCATAAAACCCACATTAAGATTGGGGTTTTATCCCCTTTTTCTGCAAATGGGTGCGAATAAGCGACCCAAGCTCGACTCGCTGATTTCTCTGAGTAGGCTCCGATCGATTCAAGTCCTGACGGGCTTGCTCTTTCTGTATTTGATTTTTATCAGTTTTGAGATTCCCATGGTTTTGAGAGTAGGGTTAGGGTTAGAAGCTCCCGAGGCGGAATCGTCACTGCCCCTGATCTCGCATCCAAATTTCAGAGGCCGAACAGACAATCAGCACTCAACCATGGAGAATGAGGGAGTGGTTTTTCGGTCGGCTCAGGAGAGGAGAGTGAGGGAGTATAAGATGATTTCCGATGTCTTTTTTGACGACAGGGCGCTGCACAGTATTAGTAAGGATGACTTCTCCGAGTTGCATAGGGTAGTTAGAGATGCATTTGCTGTAGGGAAGAGAATGTTGGAGCGTTTGAAATCAGGAAAAATGGCGAGCGAGGTGAGGAATAGGACTGAGAATGTGACAGATGAGGCTTGCCCGAATTCGATGGTGCTGCGGGGGGACAAGTTTCTGAAGAAAGGGAAGATGATGGTGATACCTTGTGGGTTGTCTTTAGGCTCCCACATCACTGTCGTCGGGCGGCCCCATTCGCCTCGTGTGGATAAAGAGTCGAAGAAGGGTGGAAAAAGTGCAATGGTGTCTCAGTTTGTGATGGAGTTGCAGGGCTTGAGGGCCGTAGACGGTGAGGAGCCGCCTAGGATTTTGCATTTTAATCCGAGGTTGAAGGGGGATTGGAGTGGGCGTCCGGTGGTGGAGCATAATACCTGTTATAGGATGCAGTGGGGGGCTGCTCAGAGGTGCTCTGGTTGGAAGTCGAGGGCAGATGAGGAAACTGGTGAGGAGTTTTCTCTTGAAACTTTTGTACAGAATCGATGTGTACATACATTCTTGATGTGATGTTATTTCGTGCTTGTTATTGATAAATGATGTCAGATTGTGCAAATGTTTGTTGATTATGTGGAAAATGCCCAACAGTTTCATTGGGATGACGCTTTGGATTATCCATTTGTTTGTCTGAGAATCAAATCATTGCTGCATCAATAAATTTTTGATTGAATGGCCATGTTGAGCTGATAGATAGATGGATATATTTAACATTTTCAGCATGCTGCTTTACATTCAAAGTGATTTTATTTTTATTTTTTCATAATTGGGTGATAGTGGTGATTCAAACTTAGAAGCTGCTGAGTTGCTACCCAAAAGTTTAAGTTGATTATGTGATCTTAGTTGTCCAGCCTTTTTCAGTTTCATGTGAATAATAGCATTTCCTTTCTCCAAAATATAGTATGCTTTTTCTTAAGATTTCAGTTGTATGGAAGTTGATGGACAGGTGAAATGCGAGAAATGGATTCGCGATGATGACAACAGGTCCGAAGAATCAAAGGTCACTTGGTGGTTGAAAAGGTTGATTGGCAAGACAAAGAAAGTTTCTATTGATTGGCCATATCCATTTACTGAGAACAAACTATTTGTGCTCACACTTGTTGCTGGGTTTGAAGGCTATCATATCAGTGTAGACGGGAGACATATTTCATCCTTCCCATACCGACCTGTATGTGTTTCTTCCATAACACTTGTGGGTGCATTCAATATTGTGACTTGTGATATGGTGCCTAAATTCATCTTATGGAACAGGGTTTCACTCTTGAGGATGCTACAGGCCTGTCTGTGACTGGGGATGTCGACATTCATTTTATATTTGCCGCTTCATTGCCCACTTCACATCCGAGTACAGCTCAACAGAAGCATCTGGAGCTATCCCCTAAGTGGAAAGCCCCAAAACTTCCCACAGAACCCGTGGACCTCTTTATCGGCATACTTTCTGCTGGCAATCATTTTGCTGAGCGAATGGCTGTCCGAAAATCCTGGTTGCAGCATGCATCAGTGAAGTCTAGAAGAGTTGTTGCTCGCTTTTTTGTAGCTTTGGTGAGAGCCCATAATAAATTTAAATGCTTGTTGAAAGTTAGTCCATGTTACTCCCTTGGTCTGAATTAATGTTCATTTTAATTCTTTTTTTCATATTTGCCAGCACACTCGGAAGGAAGTGAATGTGGATCTTATGAAAGAAGCGGAATATTTTGGCGATATTGTCATAGTGCCTTACATGGATAATTATGACCTCGTTGTGCTAAAGACGATTGCAATTTGTGATTATGGGGTGAGTTACCAATGAAATGGCTGTGTGAGTGAGATGACGTATTATTTTGCCGTAGCCTTATTTTCTCTGTTAACATGCTTATATCTGATCAATCTAGGTTCGTACAGTAGCAGCTAAGTATGTTATGAAATGTGATGATGATACATTTGTAAGGATTGACACGGTGATGATGGAGGTTAACAAAATTGAAAGCGGTAGAAGCTTCTATATCGGTAATATAAACTATTATCACAGGCCGCTTCGCCATGGTAAATGGGCAGTTACATATGAGGTATGATCTGTTCGTATCTTCCTGCTTTTCATCTTATTATATTTTATTTTATGAACTTGGTCTTACTTGTATGAAAAAATGTCTTCCCACGGTTGAAGAAATATATGATGTGTATAATATTTTATTTCACTCTACTAATTGCCCATATGTCTCTACTTGCTTTTCATTATTCTATGCATAATATGCAATGCAATTTTGAGTTGCAATGCTTGGTGATGTAGGTTTCACAACTGCATTTAATTTCTCTCAAGTCTATGTTTAAATTAAAAGCTCGAGGTGCTAACAATGCATTTGTGTTTCCAACTAATATAGAAGTACATTTCGCAATCATAGACAAATTTCCATCTTTATGTTTTGTTGTGACACAAATAGTTATCGAACACATTTTGGTAAGTACATTATTGACTGGAATCCAAAATCAGTCCTACTTACCGATCCTTTTGTCTTCAGGAATGGCCAGAGGAGAGCTATCCACCTTATGCAAACGGGCCAGGATATATCGTATCATCTGACGTAGCACAGTACGCCGTATCTGAATTTGAGAACCACAAACTTAGAGTACGCCATTCTTCCTCATTCATTTGCCTCTTTCCCCTTTCGTGACTCAACATTTGTCTAATTCTAGTTAGAACAACTGCTGTTTTATATTTGCTCAGTTGTTCAAAATGGAAGATGTAAGCATGGGAATGTGGGTGGAGCAGTACAACAGCTCAAGACCTGTTCAGTACGTGCACAGCTTGAAGTTCTGCCAATTTGGATGCATCGAAGGTTATTACACTGCGCACTACCAATCTCCCAGGCAGATGACATGCTTGTGGGAAAAATTGCAGCTTCATGGCAAACCGCAATGCTGTAACATGAGATGAACTCTGGACTTGGATCGATCCAATGCTATGCACGGTGGGTGGGACAGTTGAGAGGGTGGGGTGGGGTGGTTGTGCTTTATGGGAGCGGTGTACATACCATATATAATTTAGCCTGATCAACCCGTTTGTTATTCTTTCAGGTCAATTCATTTAAGCAAAATTTCACATTCTAAAAAATTTTCCTACTGATTTATTGAAGCATTTTAACCCTTTTTGCTTTTTTTCTTGTACCTTTCTATTACTGAAATGGTGAGTCTGCCTGCTAGAGTTGTTACACTCGTGAATGAATTGAGCTGTTCCAAGGACTGGATTGGATTGGATTGGATTGGATTGGCTTGATAAGGGCTGTTATTTAGAAAAATGAATTGAATTGAATTGAGTATGAAAAAGCCTGTTGAGTTAGGTCACTCACTTGTACTGTCTGGGGATGCAAATGGTGCTGCTGCTGCATTGTTGTCATTTCTTTGGATAAAGCAAGAAAGAATATATATGTAAATATATGTCTATCAACGGCGGGAAGGAGGCCCCTTTAAGGAAGGGAACCTATTCTATTCTATTCTCTTCTCTTTGGCATTATTGCTGCAGCACCATACACTGAGTGCTCACTTTGATTCTTTTTATATATATATATATATATATATATATTTGTTGTCTGCAGCTGAGGTGAGGTGAGGTGATTCCCTCACCCCCACTTCTTGAAGGTGTAAGAACAACATTCATTGAACTGGTCGAAATGAATTAAAGCTCTCTACTCTACTCTACTCTACTCTACTCAAACTCAAATCAAGGTCTTTAAAAAATTAATGCACAGTGAAATTCCAAGAAAGAACCCTCAATCAAATCTTTTACACCAAACAAATGCTACATTCAGATCACCATACCATACCATACCAGCAGCAGCTGCTGCTATTAAGTTGGTTCCTTCCCTTTACATATTTTGAAATTCTGGTCGGTCATCGCCTTTCTTGTTAGACATCTTTCGACAAGATGAGCCACACGAAGCAGCACAAGCCGAGCACGATCCCTAAAAGACAGTCTGAGTCAGGACTTTTAACAAACTAACTTGGTGAATGAATATATAGATATATGTGATCATGCTTACAAGTTGTCCTAGGGGGGACAAAAATGAGCCGTGCTCCTCCGTGGCTCCATGAAGCTTCGTACGGGCAATCTGTTGACGTGTTCATGCCTCCAGGACAGTTACATGCGAAAGACTTTTCCGAGTCATAGTTGTATCCGCAGACGCCATTGCTCTTCTCGCAGTCACTACACAGCTCCGGATAATTGTTCTCGAAGTTGAACTTGTACTTAACTGCAATCCCATAAGTCCACGTCGCCGGGTTCGACCCCAGGTTGAATCCGTATAGAGCAGAGTACGACGCGCACTGCAGCTTCTGCAAGTCCATCTCGAAGGAGGGCCCAAGATCGACGGGCATGTACACGCAGCACTCGGATCCGGGGAGGTTCAGCCGGCTGATGGCCTCGCACGAGTAGAGCAGGCTGCACACGGACGAGCCGAGAGAATCACACATGGGGAACGTCGAGTTGTTGCCGCTGCCGCCTTTGTAGATAGGCGAGGAGTCGGTGGAGCAGTCGAGGAGAGCGAAGACGGTAGTGTCATGGAAGGCGAAGGGGGCATCCCAGTCGAGACCGAAGCCTCTGCTAGGGAGCTTGCAGGAGCAGGTGGACATGGAGGGGTCGTAGATGTAGATGACTTGGTTGGGGTAGTCGATGGAGGTGACGGTGTAGCAGCCGGTGTGGGTGGTGAACGTGAGCTGGTCTTGCGGGGTGCATGCAACGTATGGCTGGAAGCGTGGGTCGCCGCAGCCGGAGCTGGTGCCGAAGGGGTACTTGATGGGGATTTTGCCGCATGTTTTTTGGCAAGTTTGGGAGGAGACTAGGAAGGGGAAGATGATGATGATGAGCACAAGTGTGGAAAGGGGAGGAAAGAGTGCCTTCTTCATGAGTTGGTGTGAGAGAGAAAGAAAAATCAAGGAATGGATGAATATGATTCTTGCCTCAATGGGCACTCGGCTTGGCTTGGCTTGGCTTTATAGCAAGAGAGAAAGAGAGAGTGGACTCGATAGATAGATGGCCACAGCCGCTACTCGCCGAGTGTGGTCTGGATAAAAAGCCGACCGACCTTAATAATTTGAAAATTAGACACGACAAGATGAAGTCACACGTCTCAAATGCCCTTTCTGATTGTGCATGAGTTTTGCAAAGAAAGTAGCAAGTGAAAGCACTTGGGATTGATTGGCTCCCGGGTCCTATGTTAAAAAATGAACTAATTCAATTGGTAACATGGAGCAATGTATGGCTAAGAGAAACAAAGAGTTGGTCCCAACAAAGTTAATCAAATATAAAAATACTGGGCCAATTTGGACCGGACCTTATGGGCCATAAAGCCTCAAGATAATAGGCCCATAAGATTGAACCACATCAGCTTTTTGTCGTTCTTTAAAAAGGAAGAATCTTGTGCAAAATTGGATGTATAGGGGAAGGGAGGACAATGCATCAATCAACATACGATACACTGCCCGTTGAAAGAGGGTGCCCACATGTAATATATATATATATATATGGAAAATCATATGAAGAATGTATGTAAATGAAAGCCAACAGAAATGGCACACACACAAATTAAGCTAAAAACCTCAAGTCCATCTCATTGCATTACAAGACAACAAAAATACAAAGTCAACGCTTACATCACAACATAGACCGGACCACAGCTGCAAAAACAAAAAGCAGCAGCAGCGCCGGAGAAGGCCGAAGAATGGACGCAGGAGCAGCCGACGGCGGCACGGCAGTCGTGTTTCTCGGCGACACGACTTCCTTGGAGCAGGCATAGTTGCATCGGCTCGGCCGAACCACCCTGTACAACCCGCTCTGCGTCAGCAGGTAGACATCCTTGTTGTTGTCCTGTCCGAACGAGAATATTAGCTGCACCGCCAGCTGCCCGTTGTCGCCCGAAGGTGTCGACGAATCACACTTGATCGGAGAGTCCCGCGCGCAGCTGAACGGAGTGTCATTCGCCGTAAACTTCCCACTTCCTTCCGGGGCCTCCGACGCTGCCCAAATATGCTGCCCGTAGAGATCGCCATACAAGTAGCTGCACAAGTTCGTATTAGTTTCTATCCTCCAAACGATTATTACGATTAGTTGGATGAGCTCTTTACCTTCCATACACGCACGGATCAGTCTGCGCTCGGTAGAAAAATCCACCCGATATCGCTGCAGAGCCGAGCTTATTTATCTGCGAGTGGCTGTAGCTGGCCACGGGGAAGATTGGATCTGTGGTATTCGGCAGAGTGTCGCCGCCGGGGGTTTGGTTGGCCTTGAAAGGAATAGGGCCTTCGTACATGCGCCACCCGTAGTTTCCTCCCTTTGTAATGATATCGACTTCCTCGTATTGATCCTATGTATATAAAAACACTCAAGAGTGAGTAGCTATATGGATGATCAACGTTGTTAATGATCGAATCCAGCTGTTCCGATTAGGACAGCCTACAAACCTGCCCGGTGTCGGCGCAAAGGAAGTAGACAGGCCTCTTGGCATCGAAGCTACATCGCCACGGATTCCTTAACCCGTAAGCCCATATTTCGGGCTCCATTTCTTTGTCGTCCGAGTATGGATTGTCTCGGGGGACCGAGTAGTTTCCCCATCTCCCGAGCTTCACGACTTCCTCGTCGCCTAAGAACCAATCGGAATCGACAAATATTTGGTTATTCTCATTGTACCAAACCTTTAAGATGAGATGAGGTGAGTGAAATGGAATGGATAAAAACTCAGACTTGGCAGATTATCGACGTCGACCCTGAGAACCTTCCCGAGCAACGACTTCTTGTTCTGCGCGAAGTTGTAAGGATCGCCCTTGCCACCGCCGTCTCCCATCATGATGTACATGTACTTGTCCGCCGGACCGAACAGAATCTGCCCGCCGTGATTCCCGCCGTACGGCAGCCCCAAGGTGAAGATCCTTCTTACCTCATTCGGGTTCGCATTGCCGGTCGTCGTCCCGGTCGCGTTAGCGCTGTACTCAGCAACGACGGCGTGGTACTTGCAGACCTCAGCGGTGCCCATCTCCGCCGGATCGCAGCCGACGTCGGAGTTGCAGGCGCACCGGCCGCCGCATCCGGGGGACTTCTCCTTGTCGCAATTGAAGGACGCGAAGAACCGCCCGTTGGCGGCGAAGTCCGGGTGGAAGGCCATCCCCATCATCCCGTAGCTGGGGCCGAGGAAGACCTGATCCGTCAGGTCCACGAAGGGGCTGGATTCATCGAGGTCCAGGACTTCCCCGGAGTCCTGGTCCGGGATCTTGACCAGATAAATCTTGCCGGAGAGGGTGGAGAGGAAGGCCCGGTTGGAGCCATCGGGGTGGGGCGCCATGTTGATGTAGGAGCCGTTGTCGAGCTTCTCGAAGCAGATGCCTTCAGGCGGTGGCGGGGGCAACACGCCCGTGTTGTTGCTGAGAACCACAGGCTTGCCGTCGAAGCATACGGCGGCGGAGGAGCCGCCGAAGGCAGCGCAGAAGTCGGAGTCCGATTGCCAGAGATCCGCCAGCGTTGAGGAGGTGGCGTTGCGTGGGATGGCCGCCTTGCTCTGCAGCGCGGGGGCGAAGGGGGAATTCTGGATTGGTACATTCTGGCACGATTTCCACACCGCCGCGCAGAAGCTGCTGCCGGTGGAGTTGCAGAGGATCGGAACTGGCCGGGGGTCCGAGTCGGCGTCGAACAATTGGGCGGAGAAGGGATCGCAGGTCTGAAGAATTAACGATGGAATCGATCAATTGAATTGAATTGAGCAGGCAGACCCAAAACAAACTAAACCAGACTAAATCAAATTAAAAAGTGAGAATTGATTAAATTGAGGAAATTAGGAAGAAGACTGACGGCGCAGAGGATGGATTTGACAGCGTCGGCACAGGCGGAGGCGGAGGCGGAGATGTTCATGGAGAGGAAGCGGCGGCGGAGCTGCAAATCATGGTCGGGGGTGCAACAGGCTCTTCCTTCCTTGTAGGGACAGAAGGCCAGAGGGACCTTCAGGCTGCTCGGCTGCCCTGTGTGTGTGTGCATTCGAACATTCATTCATTAACAAATTAAATCGGTCTTAATTGATTAATGGAGTATTGAAAAGAGAGAGAGAGAGAGAGAGAGAGAGAGAGAGAGAGAGAGAGAGAGAGAGAGGCACTTACTCAGGTCGGTGCACAGCGGAAATGGAGAAGAAGGAGAAATGAAACACGCCAGGGAAAGAAGCAGAAGCAGAAGCAGAGGATGAAAGCACGGTGAAATAATATGATTGTTGTTTGTATGCTTCCCCATTTCTGGCAGACGACTCCGAATCCAATCAGAACAGTGAGGGAGTCAGTAGCTACATGAAGATGAAGGAAGAAGATGGAGACGAAGATGAAGATGCGGTGACGAGAGAGATATGGATGGGTTGTGTAATGTGTGGCGTTGTTAATTGTTATCTTTATCCATGAATTTAGCTCAATTACTTCTTCTCCCCCAATGGGCAGGCAAGGCAAGTTGTGTTTGTGTGAGAGTGAGACCACCTAACTCCTCCCTAGCTATCTCTCTCTCTCTCTCTCTGCAGCCATAAATGCTATGCTGGAGGAAGGTGTCAAAGAAAGAAGCAGGATGATGACGATGATTAGGATTAGGATGTATTGATGAATGATTTTTCACTGGGGAGGGAAAGGTAAAAGGTAAAAGGTAAAAGATAAAAGGCTCAGCCACACACACACACACGCACGCACAGACTTTCCATTGTGGATAATGGATAGTCAACACATGTCCTCCCATCTACAGGGAGGTCCTGGCCTGTTGGGACTCCAGTCCAGACCTGTGACGTGATCTGAGACCCTGCATAGCAAGAGAAAATTTCACTGTCCAAATATCTCAGTGGACTCCGATGGCGATGCAAAATTGGCTGCTTCTGCTGCTGATTAAATTATTGGTGACAAATTGACACACAATCAATTTGGAATTTATTGGCCTCACTCGCTCACTTTTTCCCCCACCATTAAATTTGCTGTTTGTTTTATCTTTGAATTTTATAAGTTTGACTTTAAAAGTTGGTGAAGAAGATCATGAATTTAACCTGCAGGGTGAGTCATGAGTGAGGAAAAGTAGTAAGAAGGAAAAGCGGTAATGATAATACAATAATAATCATAATCATAATTGACAAAGTGATTTGATTGTCGGGATCAAATGCAAAAATAGTCTGGAATTATTTTTTAGTACTATTATATATTAATTTATCCGTGGGTGGGCAGGCAGGCTGATGGTGCATGTTCTTATCGTGGGGCCTCACTCCACACTTTAAGATCTTATTTTATTTAAATTATTTAATTATTAGACGTGAAGCCCAGAAACTCCACGGCAACAGGACAGGACAGCACCAACGCGGTTTATTTATCATCTATCTGTCAGAAATCATAACATACCTATCACTATTACACATGTTTGCCTGTCTGATCAATCTTCCAACTATTATAATAGTACTTGTAATTGTTTTTATAAATATGCTTATTATGAATAATGGTTCATTCGATTTGATGTACTACTAGTTAATAATAATAATGACGTCTGAATGGGCTTTTAATCTGAAAGTTAAGCCCAAATATGCCCAGCCGCCCTTCCTTTAATTAATTAATTAATTAATTATTCTGCTGTAGTGTAGCGTTGGGTGGCCGCTCAGCTCAAATCTATGTACATGCATATACATACAGTAGAAGTTACTTCAACTACCCACCATGCCATGCATGTTGGAAAGCAGTTGGATCGATGGGATACTAATAATTAATTCTACAACAAAGTCAACTTCTAAAGAGGATACTTATGATAACAGCTGGCATTCAGTTCAGTTCAGTTCAACCATATACTAGTACTAGTACTAGTATTATGTTATGTACCTTTAGAAAAGGGTGATAATATCACATATGGATATCATGTGAAACAACCAAAGGGAATATATATACACACATCCTTTATAATAATATTAAAAGTATTGGGGTTAGAAGTAGAGACTCTTGACTGAAATTATATACACACACATATATAACAGCAGTTGCAGTTGGAGCCTCCTGGAGGGAATACATATAACTGAATTAATTATTCAACCATAGAAATAATTAATATAGTAATTATTATTATAGAGGGAAATATGCTCTTCATTTTTAACTCTCTTCTCATTTAGTTTATTCATTGAGAATCGCGTGACGGACGATCGTTTCAATACACACACACACACATATTTTATATCTCCTCGTATAAATTAAATAATAATATATGTATATATTAGTATTAAATTAAAATTGAATGGAGACATAACCTCACACTACTCCGATCCATCCAAATAATTCCAATATATATATGTTGATTTTAAATTGATTCGGCTAAAATGGATCTACTACTCTACACTTGTCTACTCTATTCTATTCAAAGAAGAAACTCTTATTAATTAATTAGAGTGCCTCGAGATAGGACAGGATAGGATAGGTTAGAATAGCTCCTCCAGTCATTGTGATTCATTATTCCATTCTTTAATACTCCTACTATTAATTTCTTCTATTCTATTTCTATATATACAAGTTGTGAGTCGTTGATCCGAAGCAGTTAACGACGGTTGATTTGATTTCAACAATGGCAACAACAAAGATAGGAATCAGTGACGATGGTGCTGAGGCGGAGGTGGAGGTGCTGGGGTCGTGGGCGAGCCCCTACTCCAACAGGGTGGAGATGGCTCTCAACCTCAAGTCAATTCCCTACCGCCTCTCCGAGGAGAGGTTCTTCAGCACCGACGACGGCGCCAAGAGCCACCGCCTCCTCCGGGCCAACCCGGTCCATAAGAAGATTCCGGTCCTGCTCCACCGCGGCAGACCCGTCTGCGAGTCCCTCATCATCCTCCACTACATCGACGACGTCTGGGCCCAATCCGGGCCGTCCATCCTCCCCTCCCATCCCTACGACCGCGCCCTCGCCCGCTTCTGGGCAGCATTCCTCGACGACAAGGTCTGTGGGTCCCTGCCCTGCCCTGCCCGCCTCTCTTAGTCTTAATCAATCCATCAATTTCGATTTCCTCATTAATTAATTGTATTTATATATGTAATTAGTGGTTCCCGGCGTTGAAAGAGATGGAGCAGGCGACGGACGAGGCCTCAAGGGCCGGCGTCGTGGGGAAGATTCTGGAAATGACAGCCTTGTTGGAGGGGGCTTTCGTCGAAATAGCAGGGAATGGGAATAGTAATAGCAGGAGGTTCTTCGGAGGGGACGACATGGGGTTCCTGGACATTGCACTGGGAAGCTACCTGGGGTGGGTGCGGGTGCTGGAGTCGGCTGTCGGGGTGAAGCTGTTCGACAGCTCCACCTGCCCCGGGCTGGCCGGGTGGGTCGACAGGTTCTGCTCGCACCCTGCTGCCAGGGACGTGGTGCCGCCCAGCGAGAAACTCGTTCAGTTCTACATCGCCATCAAATCGCAGAGGAAAGCCCAGAGTTAGCCAGAATGCATTGTGATAACAACAAACAAACAAACAAACAAACAAACTCTCGTTAATGAATTAATTGGCTTGAGTCGTTGATTGACTGATTGTCTTATGTACGTATGTATGTATGTATGTATGGCTTGACGCAGCAGAGCGAGCCAACAGTATACATACCTCTTAAAGAATAAATTAATTCGACGACGACGACGATTGTGCTGTGCCTGTGCGTTTTGAGGACCAATCTGGGCCCTTTTTATTGTTTTCACTAATCTGATTAAAATGATCTCATAATTATTTTTATTGATCCTCAATGAATATTCATTTTATTAAAGTTTTTATAACCTCCAAACCTTTAATCATTCATTGAAGCTTGTTTAATTCTCTAATTCATCATCAAGTCTCAATTGAATCTTGCATCTCCCACCCTCCCTAATTGGCTTTCGTCAAACTTTATCAAGGTCGGTCGGTCTTCATTAATCTCCTCCCTCCTTAGTAACGAACACTAACAAGCTAGCCTCTAATTCCCAATGCTTTTTTTATTTTTTGACATTTTTCAGCCCCGGATATCCCCCCTCCCCTTGTCTTTTATGGCCTTCTTCTGGGTTTAGGGCCTGGTCTTCTCTTTCTCTTGCCTTCCACACTATTTTTGGATATATCCCACCAAATAGCCTCCCTCAACAAGCCCAATTTAAAAAGGAGAAACTTTTTGACCCAGATAATAGATTTTTTGGGCCTTTTTATTACTACTTCAACTTCGTAAGGAAAGAGCTTTTAGCAAAGTTGGATTCCTCCTTACAGATTATGTCATCAAATTGCTAAAGTTTGGTGAAAGAATGTTCTATTTTCCATAGTCCTTTTTATGTTTCTAGCAATCTCTGAAAAGTATTTTTCGTATGCTAACTTCTAATAATTAAGCTTGAATATATATATATATATATATATTTGTATATAAAAAGATAATAAGATTATTATAGAAAATAAGTATGTACTAGAAATAGATCATCGTTGATGGATGGATTCCCAGGATGATGAATGATAATTATTGCATTTGGTCTCTCACAGGAAGAGTTCAAAGCTTCGTATTTACAGAAATTGCAAGGTCCAATTCTGCGTGCTAGTAATAATCATCAACATTATTTTCTTGAGCAACAGTATGCAATGATTCTTCTGGAATTTAAAATGATGATACAAAATAATAGGACTACTCCATAAAATTGTAGTATTGCATGCAATTTTAATTATTTAGGATATTTTTCTAATATTGCACGTGATTTGACTCAACCAAGTTTACTAATTCAAAAACATCAATACAAAAATAGCAAAAACACAGATGACTCCTGGTTTTAATAATCTACGAGAATCAGTCGTCGGATGATTCCTGGTTTTTCTTTTGCTTACGTGGAATGTCAAAGATGCCAGCAAATCCACTACAAGGTCAGGTCAATGATCTATCCCACAACCAACGCTCCAGATTGGTTCAGGACTCAAGGGCCCGGGAGCGACCAATCCGTTTCTCCAGCGGACAATACTCGTGAACAATTCACCCGCCCCGCTCGCCCTTGTCTCTGTCTTCGCCCTGCCTTCTCTACTCCCCTTGTCTCCCCGAAACTTCCCCAATCTTCCCTACGTCTGACTACTATAAAAATCTCAGATTTTCGAGAATTTCTAGCTTGGTTAAAATAATTAATTAATTAATCAAGGTGTCCGGAGCTGCCATGGAAGTGTTTCAGAGAGCTAAGGCTGTCCGCCTGAAGAACTGTCACGACAAGTATCTAACAGCGGACGAGGACGAGGAGTCCGTCGCGCAGGACCGCCGAGGATCTTCCAAGTCGGCCAAGTGGATGGTCGAATTCGTCGAGAACACCGACGGCGCCGTCATCCGTCTGCGGAGCTGCTACGGCAAATATTTAACGGCGTCAAACCAGCCATTCCTCCTCGGGATGACGGGCCGGAAGGTGCTTCAGACGCGCCCCAGCCGGCTCGACAGCTCCGTCGAGTGGGAGCCGGTCCAAGAAAACGGCGCCCTCAAGCTTAAGACAAGGCACGGGCAGTTCCTACGGGCAAACGGCGGATTGCCGCCGTGGCGGAATTCCGTTACGCACGATATTCCCCATCGGACGGCCACGCAGGAGTGGATTGTTTGGGAAGTGCACGTCGTGGAGATTCTGCCGGCGCCGGCGCCGGCGGAGGCGGACTCTCTTAGCTCCGCTGATGATTCGTTGAGCTTTACCAGGCAAGAGGTAATTAATAAAAATCAATGAAATTATATAAAAATAAGCTTTTTCTTTTTTTTTTTTTAAAAGACGAAATTATTGCTCAATATGTAATTTTCAATTTTCTTTCACAGTGGAAGGACGATGGATCGTCGTCGTTTATATCACGGCCAAAATGCAGCAGCAATGGAAGGCTAATCTATTTTCACATAGCAGACGAAGAGGGGCGAATCGACGAGGCATTTGAGGAGCTATGCATCAGATTCAAGGGCAATAGAGTGGAGGAGCTAACCACAAAGTTAGAGGAGGAATTAGAAATAGAGGGCATCACCGTGTGTGCCAGGAATCCACTCAACGGGAACCTACTTTATCCTCTCCGTTTGCACCTCCCGCCTAACAATGCTTCCATGCACGTCGTCGTGCTTCCACCTACTTACATTGCATGTATCTAATGGAACAAGTCATAATGGATTTGGTACCTAGACAAGCATCGGAAAATTCTTTACCAGACACATATTCTATTTATTCAAATTAGTAAGGCCACATTATGTACCCACACGTGCTTGCACCTGCAGGGAAGTCACGTGAATCCAAGTGCCTCAATTTCATATCCATGGTTCCATAGCAACTAGCAAGTACCAGCAGATCCCATACGAATTCAAACATGTTCCAACTTGATCAATCCAAAAGTTTACCCGTATAATTTGTTTCTAAATGGGTTAGAAGATCCGATACTTGACCCGTTCAATTCCGATCCCGTTTAAAATTTTTCTGAATGGATTAGAAGAATCGATACTTGACCCGTTCAAATCCGATCCAACTAATTGACCGCCCTAGCAATTAGCAAAGTATTAACATATGCATATACATTTGTTCTGCCTAAAAATATAACAATGTAGCATCAAAATTATTCTTTGATTAACAAATTATAAGTTATTTTTCATTCCAAATATATCAAATCCTCAAACAAACAATAGCAGAGATCAAGAAAGTTGAAATTTTCTTCACAACAGTGTCCCAAAGGAGACAATCTATGAGATTAAAAACACATACGATTTGGTTTCATGCTCAAGATCCAAATAAAAAAAAAAAAAAACACATCAAGAAAGATCAATACCTAAGTTCTTGTAACGAAAATACAGTCGGAATATAAAGATACGGTGCGTACCTGGTGTAAGACAGTTTATCGACTCAACGACAGTTTTCATGAGTCAACTGTAGTAACTTGCTGCCATTCTCCATCGACAGCCTCCTTCCAAAGAGTCACATTATTGTTCCCATCAGCGACAGCGAGTATGTTTCCAGTCAGCGACCATGACACCCTCCAGATGGGCGTGCCCAAGTCCTTCAGCACTTTCCCGTCCCATTTGTCGCCCTCCTTGACCGTCGACCAGATGATCACTTTCCCGTCTTGGGAAGCGCTAGCAATGGTGGATTTCGGGAGGCCGAGGTTGGGTGCCCAGGCGACGTCCCTCACCCAGTCCGTGTGCATGTTAAGAGCCGGGAAGCAATCCATCCTCCAAACCCCGTTATCGAATTTCCACACTTTGACGGTATTGTCGCAGCCGCCAGATGCCAGCTTCTGAACGGGGTCGAGAAGACCAGAGCCCACGAGAGCACCGGGAGCTGTTGATGGGGACCACGAGACCGAGGTGACGCCAACAGGATGAGCCTGGTCGATTCTTGATTTGTCCCATCCGCCATCGGGTCTTGCTGTGAAGACAGAGATGTTGCCGTCGGAGGATCCGCAAGCAAGACAGAGGCCGAGTTCGTGGGGAGCCCATGCAATGGAGTTGACAGAGGCTTTGTGATCGTCGAACGCTTCCGACTGGATCCAATCGTTTTGATTGCCTTCCTTCCAGATTATGACTTTCCCGTCATAAGAGCAGGAGGCGAGAAGTGACCCGAACTTGGGGTGCGCCCAGGCAACTTGCCACACCGGTTCTTGATGACCAGTTAAAGTTGCGAGATGCTGAGATCCTGAGTTGTTAACCCCAATTATTTTGATAGTATTGTCTGAAGACGCAGTGGCAAGACGCTTGCCGTAGTAATCCATTGCCACGTCGTGAACGACATCTTGGTGACTGGTCTCAATTTTTTGCCCCGGCATGCTTGCTTTCACTTAATACGAATTAAAAGGTCACCTGTTGCTCCAAATTGGATTGCTTTGGCTCCTTTTGCTGTTGAAAGATCAATGGGACTTTTGTCAAGAATTTCATCAAGCATGAATCGAATCCTCATCAATTAAAGCACCGTATAGAAATAGATAAGATGATTGAAAAACAACATGCCAAATCCATTTTCATTCTAAACTAGTGTGGAAAATGTAAAACAATGCAATAACCCCGCCAAATTAGCATGTGAAAATTAACAATCATAGTATCTCATTGACATACTATAGATAGATATAAATTTGTACTTGAACAAATAAACTATCTACATAATTAGGACCAAGGTGTATATGAACATGTATAAAAGTTTCATAGAAAGGCATCCCTAAACCCTAAACAATGCACGTACGGCATGTCCAACATGTAGAAACTATCTGATTCCAACAGTTCCACGCATCTAAAAGAAATTACACTCAGCATAGCCAAAACACAAACAGGGAGAAGTGAAAAGAAAAGGAGCCAGGGTATGCAAACACTATCAAAACTGCAGCAGATTAAATAATGCCAATGCACTTCAACATAACAAAAAAAAATAAAAAAATGATACCAAATTCATTACCATGCTATCAAGGCTGCCAAAGAAACTAGTGAAACAAGAAAATACTTTAAAAGAAAATTCTGAGGAAACAAGAGATGTGATTTAAGAAAAATTACACCTAAAGGAGACAACACAATTTTAGATCATATTTCATCTTAATGTTCATTAGATTGTATACCGCTAACATTGTTTCAAACACAGGCATGTAAAATAGCCGAAAATCATACAAATGACCTTTCTCTTCTCTCCTTCCCTTGATTTCTATGACCACAAGATTTACATGTAAAAGTGCCTACCCATGTTTTCCCTCATAACAATACACATTTTCCCTCTGAATTCACACAAGAATGGTGTTTGTTTCACCTCCCAATTTTGCCTGCATAAGAATACGCATTTTTGCACCATACAATTTTAAGTACTTTACCACTAGAAACATCACACCTAAACATATTCTTCATTCCAAAAAATTCATACAACCCAAGCTTTTCATTATCAACCGCATTTCGGAAACAGAAAAACTACCTAAAGGCAAACACAAAGCATACAAGGGAACTGAAAATATGTGTATCAAAAGCAAAAACACTGAATCTCACTGTTCTAATCGCGGCCAGTACATTGAATTAAAAAAATATATATATATACAAACTTTCCAAACCTAAATTCAATCAGAGCAAAATGAAATCGAAGCAAAACAAACTCAAAACTTTCGGCATACCCAAATTTTTGGTACAGTTACTGGTATAAACCGTATACCGAAATTTGTTAAAAATAATATCTGAATTTTGATGCACAGCACTACAATAGAATTACTCAAAACGCAATATCAGTCACCACACATTCTAAAACTATGTCAAATACAGAATTATTGAAGAGTAAAATGTCTCCAAAACTTTGGGAGTCACAAAGCAGAAAATTAGAGAAAACAAAAATGAGAGAAAGAAATGCATACACACACGGATAGATAGTAGATAGTATTGTGCGCGCGAGGTGGGGGAGGGCGGCCGGCGGCGATTTGCGAGGTCGAGATATAGGTAGGGGAGCGTGGCTGGCGACGATCTAGAGAATTTATTTGGAATGGACGGGAGGATTTGCGATTGAGATTTAAGAATTGTTAGGCGGGTTGCCTAATTACTAGATAATTAAAAATTATCAGTCAAAATAATTATTTTATAATATAAATAATTATAAATTAAAATTAAAATAATTAATTAATTTAATTAAAATTAAAAAAATAAATTAAAAAATTTAAAATAAAATTAAAGCGTGTAATTATTTAAAAAAATAATATAAAAATATGGACATAATACGTGGGACGAAGGAAGTAAAATTTATCGAATAATTTGTATAAAATATAATAGATTAAAGGCAAAATATCAAAAAAAAATTCACGGTTTTTCGAATTTGCTAAAAACTCCCTTAATTCTAAAATTTAAAAAAATTTCATTGTGATCTCCAAAATGTTGCAATTGTATATCAATATTTCTATATAAAATTACTAAAATATCCTAATGAATCTTGTTCCTTGTTCTTTTCTTGTTTGTTCTTCTCTATACATTTAAAATTTAATCTCAATTTTTTTTTTTATTTTAAATAAATCGATCCAAAATTTATTATTCAATGTCGATTTCTTCTTGTGTTTTACCAAACCCAGAAAGGAAAAAAATCAATTTGACATACAAATTTGAAATCAATTTAAGAAAAAAGTGAAAAAATTTGGTGTTGCCGGTTGCAAAAGAAGAATCGACTAAACCCTAAACCTTTCTCTTCTTCCTTCCTTCTTTTCCTCGGCTCCACCCGCCGCTTCTATCTACCGTCTTCTTTCTCTTCTTAAAAACCTGCTTGTGAAGAAGAATTTGGGGAAAAAGAATATATTGAGGAGAAGAGAAGAAGAAAAAAATAGAATATAACTGTCAAATGTGATAAAAGTTAATGTCCGAATAAATTTGGACCGATTGTTTTTGTCTAAGATTAAAATAATATGCTAAAAAAAATAAGTCCTAGGATAGCCAAGTGTCATCGGAATGACCGAAAGTTTACTAAGGGTGTGTTTGTTTAGGGGTTTGGATTTTGAGTTGGGATTTGAATAGTAAAAATTTTGAATTTGAATAGTTGTATGATGTGATATAAATAGGTGTTGATGTGATGTTTTGAATGTAAAATTGATTTTTAGTATAATATAAAAAATAAAAAATAGGTGTTTGATTTGATGTTTTTGGGGGAAAAAAATTGGATGAATAGTAAGAATTTTGCAAAATCTTGCAAACGAACATACCATGAATACATCCAAAAAAATGGCTACGTTTTAAAAAAGAATATGTATAATAAATTAAAATAATTTACAAGTCATTTTTACATTCCTGATAATCCAATGACAACAAAATATATTATACAGTCATCTTTTTATATTTGTTGATGTAATTTTTCAACAAAAATAAAGTAAAATTCAAAGATATAGAAAATATCCTTAAACTTGATTAATTAGTGCCTGAGATTAGGAATCTCTAAACACTGTATGGTACAGAAAATAAACTGGAAAATAAAAGACTGAAATTTAAAGTGGTGATCCCCAAATCTGACTTTGCTTTGTTGAAGTTGATTGAAGATCCCTTGCCAAATGATGATCCAAATCCTTAAATATTCCCTGGGAAACCGTACTGAAAACCGTCACCCGAACGGTTACAACGTCTCCTTCTCAACCGTCTTCCAACCTTTCTTATGCTGACACGTGTCCCCAGCAGACCAAAAATTCCCTATATTTCACTCCTTGAGCCGACCACAGACCTTCCGCTCTTTTGGCCCGACTGCCAATCTACAATAGTATGGGTCCGACCGCCAATCCTCCCGACTTGCGAACCATCTGGCTTGAGGTCTTTCCGCCTTGAGGACTTCCCGACCTGAAAACCTTCCGACTTGAGGTCTTTCCGCCTTGAGGACTTCCCGACCTGAAAACCTTCCGACTTGAGGTCTTTCCGTCTTGAGGACCTCCCGACCTGAAAACCTTCCGACTTGAGGTCTTTCCGTCTTGAGGACTTCCCGACCTGAAAACCTTCCGACTTGAGGTCCTTCCGTCTTGAGGACCTACCGACCTGAGGTCCGTCCGTCCTAATGACTTTCCGTCTTGAAGACCTACCGACCTGAAGACCTTCCGACCTGAGGTCCTTCCGTCTTGAGGACCTACCGACCTGAGGTCCTTCCGTCCTAATGACTTTCCGTCTTAAGGACCTACTGACCTGAAGACCTTCCGACCTGAGGTCTTTCCGTCCTGAGGACCTACCGACCTGAAGTCCTTCCGTCCTGAGGACCTACCGACCTGAGAACCTTCCGTCCTGTATTTTCCTTAGAAATAAATAAATAAATTTATTTTCCTTGATTTCCTCACGGTGTCCTTCAGCCAGTTCAATCAACCCTATTGCCAGGCCCATTCTTCTTTTTTACCTTGGGCTTTTAACCTAATTCTAAATTTCGTACGTAACAACTTGCCCGCCGCCAAGGGACTTTCAAACGCCATTTAACAATCAATGTTTGGAAGTTCATAAATCACTACCCTCTTGAAAAACTCCCTTAGCAACTGCACCAGTTACTGAAACACGCCTGATAAACTTCCATCTTCGCAATACAAGCCTGTGTGAATCACAATCCCAAAACATTCTAACTATGGCGAATCAATACATGCCTGCCCTTCCTTTCGACGGAACCCTTCCAGAAGGTCCATTTTCAGCCTCGAAAGTACTAACTCCGACGATCCGTCCATATTGCACTACTCCTGAAGATTCATATCACGAAAGCTCTGGTTGATGATGCCATTCAGAAAAAGGAGGCAGAATTGCGGGAGCTGAGGAAAGAACAGTCTACCCTGGATAAGCAAATTACCAATGAACAGCATCTGCTTGAGAAGTATACCAAAAATGAGGCTGAATTGGATCAAGAGCTGAAAACCCAAGCCCGATCCCAATTCATCAGAAGATATCAGACGGCTGCCATTACCAGAAGGCTATCCAGGGATGAAAACAAATGGACACAAATAAAAACTGCCCTAGGGGCACTGTTGTAATATTTCCCCCTTTGTAACAACAACTGACTTAGTAATCCATTTTTTTCTTTCTTCTCTCAAAACAAGGATCACCTTTCAATTCCCAACTTTATAGGAAACGAACCAAACTCCTTCTTTAAAAGAACACTGTTTCTCACATTTTAAGAAACATATTCCCAAGCATATTTTAAAAATCAAAACACTGAAAGTGTGAACAAACATGGCGAATGACCGACCTCATGTTCCATCAAGCAACTGGGAGGGTGTTCTTCAACCCTTCTTTGTAGGTAATCACCCTATTGGAGGCCATGCAGAAGACTTGTTATATATACTCAAGCAACTAGACTTCAAATTCCGATTCTCCCAACGAGGTAGAAGAACTATTCATCGCGTCATCCTCCTGATGGAAAAAGTCATTGAGGGGTATGAACCTCTTCATGACATCCTCAGCCGCATCCCTGATCTCCATCATCACATGGAAATGATTGAAAATCATGCAGCAACCATACTTCCAGACCTTGGTTGGGATAACATATTTTCCAATCAACGAAAAGTCTTTTCAAGATTGCGTACCATTGTTGACCGTGAACATCAAGCCCTAACAGACATGCAAGCACGTACCCATCAAGATCTAGATGACATGCAAAGCCAATGGGAAAGGTACCGACCAGACTTGGAAGATCTTATTGAAGAAGAACCAGAGCTAATATCCACTCACTGGGATGAAAAGTCTGATTCAGAGACAGAAAATTTCTCACAACTACACGATGACTAACAGAAATGAACCTTCCAGTAGGTTCGAACCCCCATAAATGGGTTCTGAATAATATGTGGTTTCAGGCAGTTTTGTTATCTGAAAAGGCAGGATAATACCTCTTCAGATATTTAGCATTAATACAATCATGTACTCTTCTACCTTCATGATTTACAATAATGAACGCGCCATTTCCAATATCTTTTTGAACAATGTATGGTCCTTCCCAATTCGGTGACCACTTTCCCAATTGATCGGTTTTCTTATATGTAGGAAGAATGGTCTTCCAGACTAGGTCTCCTTTTTGGAATGTCCTGTGAAGAACTTTCTTTCCATAACTCCTTGCTCTGATTTCACTCTGTTTCACACTTCGATCTATTGCATGGAGACGGTTAACATCCAAATCTTCTAACTGCTGCAACATAATTTGTTGGTATTCCTTTGTAAGATCACTATCAGTAAATTCTGTTCGGCCAGATGACACTCGAATTTCGGCTGGTAAAACAGCATCTTGGCCAAACGTAAGTTGGTAAGGTGAGAACCCTGTGGCCGTATTTCTGGCATTTCTATGTGCCCATAAAGCCTGAGACAATAACAAATGCCACTTTCTTGGGTTCCCTTCAATCATCTTCTTTATAATCCCAATGATAATCTTATTTGCTGCTTCCGCCTGTCCATTGGCTTGGGGATAATATGGTGAAGAATGATGTAACCGAACACCGAATTCTGCCAAGAAATTAGAGAACTTTTCCCCTGTAAAGACCAAGCCTTGGTCGGTTGTTATAGACTGAGGAATACCATATCTGTAAATAATTTGGTTCAAAACGAAGTCTATCACTTCTTTCTGATCCACATTTTTCAAAGCAACTGCTTCCACCCATTTGGTAAAGTAATCAGTCGCGACCAAAATGAAACAGTGATGTTTCGATGAAGCAGGATGTATCTTACCAATAATATCCATAGCCCACGATTTAAAAGGCCATGGTTTTGCCAAGAATTGCAATTCGGTTACTGGCAAATGATTCAAGTTTCCATGTCTCTGACATTCCAGGCAGCCTTTTGCAAATTGTATGCAATCCTCAAAAATCTTAGGCCAGAAAAAACCCAAGCGATGAATGGCCCATCTCATATTGAGACCTGCCCGATGAGCTCCACATATCCCACCATGTACTTCTGTCATCACTTCTAGAGCTTCTTTAGATCCCAAGCATTTCAAAAGTAAACCTTCAAATGATCTCTTGTACAAAATTCCATTTATCAATTGAAAACGTAAAGCCTTCAATCGTGTCGCAATTGAAACACT